AGCATTTGCTGGAAATCATATAATATGTGATTTGTTATTATTCAACATTGTGGCCCTTGTTTGGTTTTTTCAGGTCGTTTGGCTCCAGCGTCAGAATGTGCATTCAGCACCACCTATTGGACAATTTTACACACAACAATGTAATGGCGCTCTGTTGCAACGTGGATCACTTTGTTCACTGGAAGAAATCTTAAATAGCTGAACTCTATATTGAGTTCTGGAGCACAACAACTTAACTTTTATTTCTTGGATATCTTTATGATTTTGGGGGATTTGTATTTGCATTACATACAATCAGCACCTCTGACGATGCCGATAAACGACACATATTTATTACTGGCTTTTATAATAAAAAGATAGATTTTATATAATCTTTGTTATGAGATCATAAAATCTCAGATTCACTTTTCAGTCTCATTTTGCTACATAGAGATAATATGTGATCAAGGAAACCCTTTTCCACCGCCCGCCTCTCTGTTTTCTATTTATCTCTGCTCCTTTTTCCTTTTTCTTTGTTTACCACTTTTATTGAGGAATGTGGCAGCAGGACAGGCCTGGCAGTCGAAGCAGCACTTATGCTGCCCTGTCAGCAACTTCTTGTGGCCAGTTGGGCAGGGTGGTGAACAGATGGACAGTGGCACCTATACACAGTCAAAGAAAAAGACATATTATAGATTAGCTTTTATTTAAACAGGTCATCTCTAATAGATCTAGCTCTTGGTTGGAAGGGAGAGCAGAGAATAACAGAAGAAATAAATGCTATACAACAGATGCACATAAACCACAACATCAAAAGCATATTTGTTTAACCTTTTTAAATGAGAAATGAAAATGATCCTTTTTAGGGTTAGGGTTAATTTTCTGTGGGTCTTTTTGTAATATTTAATTTTTTTTAAAACTATAAAACAAACCCAAACACCATGTTGCTCTTACTGCTCTTGAACCTTCTTTTCCGCACCACTCAATTTGATCTGCATCAATTGTCAGTGTAATTGGGTCTGGGGTAAAGGAGCCCACTACTCTCAGGGACCAGTCAGTGCCCCTCCAAATCCAGGTAACAATATCATATCCTGTGGGTGGATCTCCATTTGCATCAAAGTACACAGAGGTGTTCTCCAGGGAAAATCGCACATGCTTTAGCTGCTGAAAAAGCTGGGGAGGACAGAAAATGAGAATTATGTAAAGAATAAACCCAAATCAAACCAAACCAAAACATCAGTTTAAATCAACTCACCTCCCATGGATGCACGGTTCTCTTGTTGCACTTTTCGGCATCACAACCAAGTGTAGTGTGCAGAGCATGAGCCAAAGCATACACAGCTTTATACACATTGAAGGCAGAGGCGATGTCATATTCCTCCAGAGAGTAATTATTTCTGGCGAGGCTGTACAGGTCTGTGCTCTGTAGGCAGTCATTTCCATAGCTCATGGTAACATTAGCGTTGGCGCGTTGCATTGAAGCCTCGACTATCTTTTTCTCAAACTCCTCAAATCCGGGAATGGATATAGGTTTGACGGCCACACCGATCACAGTACCGATTGTGTTGATTCCACTTATGCCTGATATAAGAGTTGCCACTGACCAGTCCTCCGTCCCGATCCACACTTTATCTGTTATGTTGCGCTCGAGTACAAATGGGAAGAAGCCACTGAGTTTCGTCTTGCTGGAGAAGACCACAATGGTATTGACGTGGGTTGTCAGTATGTCCGTTACCATGTTCCTCATGATCTGGACTGTTTCATCTGTAGCTGAGGGGATGACTCCTTGGTAGGCGATGCAGATGCCGTAGCTGGATGCTTGTTGGGACAGACTCTTCATGGCCTGAAGCCCATAGTCATTGTCACTGCCTAAGAGAGCGATCCAGGTCCAGTTGAAACGAACCAGGAGTTGGATCATAGCAGCTACCTGGTTCTTGTCACTGGAAATTGTGCGGAAAAAAGATGGATAGTATATCTTGTTGCTCAGCTGCTCACTTGATGCTTCATAAGAGATCTACAATGAGCAATGAGCAATGAGTTTCTTTTAAGATGTGAATGTGGAATATAAAATAATTCATGGACACGAGCAAAGACTTCCAAATATTAACTTACCTGTGGTACAAGAGAGGTCCCCAGTAAAGCAGCAGGGGTGAAAGACTTGCTGCTGCTGTCCGGCCCAATCACAGCCACAGCTGTTTGAGCATCACTGGAATTAAGGGCTGTGTTGTTCTGTGCCCCAGGTGTAGAAATGTTCCTGTACTGTTGGTCGAGCAGGTCCAGGGTGGCCAGGATACTGGCCGGTACTGAGCAAATATCGTACATCTGGTAGCCGAGTTTCACTCCTGGTAGGAGAGAAAGCACCCCTGTTTTGCTGTTGATTTCTTCCACAGCAAATCTCATAGCTTGCAACAGATGAAAACCATGTTTGTTGGGCCTGCCTCTGGAGAAGAAAAAAAAAGAGTGTTAAGTTTGAAAAAACTGACAATATTAACTGGTCCACAAGTGAAATGCATCTATCAGGTTTCTGTCTAATAAAACAGAAACACTCACTCTCTGCATGGAACCAGAGCAGGCAAACCACTCAGCCCATTAGTATAGAAGAGAGGAAAGAGTCCAGCGAAGGAGAAGTCCCCCTGCAGATACATCCCCTGGCTGTGAGTGGTGTGATCTAGATTCCCATCAGCTGACTGCAGCACTAACCAGCCCAAGGAAAGCAGCACAGTAACAGACATGCTCGTATTTTAGCGTCAGCTTATGCACATCTGCATGTGGAAGCTCAGTGTGTTGTGCAAAAACAGATCAGGAACTCTTCTTAAAAGTGTGGGCTGGCAGAGGGGAGGATTTTCCATTCTTCTGAAAAATGTTTACTGAGTGAAGGTACTTTGCATGTGGAATTTGTTGGTGTCATTAGAGTTTTCCTCCCGTTGAAATGATTTGCATAAATGAAAGTCATGAAGAGGCAGTGATTTTTTCATAAATCTTTGACCACTAACATGGAGTGAGTGCAGATTCACTTTTTAACACATTTATTAGGGCTGATAGTCTTTTCCAATATAAGACTTTGCTTTCAAGGATTTTAAATCTTAATCTTATAGATGATATTGCAATTTCAGTGTGATGTACATACATTATGTACATAGATACAAAGTGAATTTATCAACAAATGAAGGCAACATTACAGGTTTTGGGAGTTAAATGTTAACCTGATGCTGCTGGATACTTTTTGTAAGTACATTTTATGATATTATTTTTGTTAAATTCCACATGATGTGTGTTTAGTAAAAAGCAGCTGCCCATAAAACAGGAAATATCTGTTAAACTTTACATAGAAATAATGTGTCTCAAAAGTGTGTCTGAGTCAGCACAAAAACTAAGAATCTACTTTGAAGAGAAAGTATTTTTCCTTAAAAAAATAGAATGAAAAATAAAGTCATCAATGTTTAATAAATATAATATAAAAACGGTTTATTGAGCAGAATCAAGTATAAGATGCTGAAAGCCAAAATTTAATGTCACCAGATGAGGATTCAGGGTCTCAGGAGGTTAGCTTGTAAAGGCATAATTTGAAAGTGATGTCCTACTCAGAAGGACATTTTAGAAAATGTAAAAGCCAATAATAATAATAATACTAACAATACTACCACTAATAATAATAATAACAACAACAACAACAACAGTAATACATTTTATTAATTGGCTCTTTCAAAACACTCAAGGGTGCTTTAAAAGCAAATAAAAAAACAAATAACGAATTTCTAAATGTATATAATGTTACATGTTACACTAGTCTTATTAGCTACACTTATGTTGTAATGTGCAAATCCTTCATGAGGGCTGTACAGGTGTGCCAGAATTTGCATTTTGGTTGATATTTGACCTGTATTTTGTCAAACACACCTGTTGTACTAACATGTAATTTGCTTAGATCCAGGGAAAAACCATTGTTTGAACAGGAATACGGTGCATTTTATTATCCGCTGTATTATGCAGTCAAATAGCCATGTAAATTCAAATGCCTGTACAAACACAAAGATTTGATGGCATGCACACAATATGCAGACTTTTAACAGAAAGGTATTTGTTAACATGTCCGTATGAGCCAGGAAGTTGGATAAATTCTCTTTGTTTTGTCCTTTGATGACATATTGCAGTCAGATTAATAACAGAGCTGCATGAGTAATAGATCCAAGTTAAAGCAATCATAGCTTGAAAACAGTCACAAGAAAAATCTACTCATGACAAAAGGTTTATGAGTAAGACTCTGACCTTTACCAACGTGACTCCTCTCTGTGTAATTCTTCCTCTCAGCCTTCCAAAAACGTGTAAAGCAGCCATTATTAATGTACTCTTATGCTTCTTTAATATTATAACATTACACAAAGTGAATTGCAAACAGCTAAGCATAGACTGAAGTTGGGCAACGTTTTGATTAATCATTTGGTACACAAAGAAAGAAAAGTAGTACAACATTTAACTATATTCCTATATAACAACTGTTTGTAATGTCTTTGTGTTGAACTGGAGCAATAACACATAAGTGTTCGGGTCTTACAGCTTTTAAAAGATCAGCCGGTCAAACTGCAAATTTGAAGAGAGGCATTTTGGACATAACATAGCAAAACAATGGGCTGCTTGGCCTATAACTAAAGCTCCAATCATCTTCTCCTCTTCCCGTTGTTTTTGGCCTATCAATCTAATCAAAATATTGATCTGATAGTGTAAAATTGCATGTTTTAATGCATTTGAACTGCAGTGAAAAATAAACAAAAATACAAAACTTTAGTGAATTACTTTTAGCCTTGTAGCCTTATTACATGTTCTAGTATATACATATATAGTCTAAATCATCAAAAATACTGAGATATATTTCCCAAAATTCTCGTGAAATTATAGATGATACTGACTGTCTTTAAAAAAATCTGTGTTATTTAAGCAGTGGCGATATGAACAAAATAGCCTTCATCCCCGGATAAAGATGATGATGGTGATGCCCGGTCTGCTTGCGTCACTACCATGCGACGCGAACATCGAGGTGAAAGTGCAAGCTGCCATTTTTTGAAAGAAGTCTTTTTGATGAGTTAGGCGACCAAAGCCAAAGTGTGAGTTTCGCCGTTAGCGCTTCGTCGTTGGGTTTTTTATGCTGGTGGGTTGACACGTATTAATCGGGCTTGTTACAGAAGTTCTGTGTATCCAGAGTCTGTTTGGAGAGCAGGCTAGCACAGGGCTGCACTGCTCTGCAGATGGCTGCTTAGCTCGGTTGGCTAACGTTAGCTGGTGCTGTAAACAAACACTGGACTGAGTGAAGAAGCAGCTGCTGATAAAGGAGCTCATCTTCATCGCAGGCTTGCTTTAGCGGATTTGGTCGATAATTCAGGAAGCTGTGAGCTAAGGTAACGTTTGGGAGGAGCGGGAAACAGTTTGATGCTACTTGTCAGTAAGTTAGCAGCACAACTTCAGTTTTGATGACAGTGCGAGTCTCTCCAAAATAGCTCGGGGCTCAGTCGCGTTAACGCTGGTCGGAGTCGGTCCGGTCACAAGGGAAGCGCCCACTTACTCACCGGCATGTCGTCCTTCTCTGAGTCCGCCCTGGAGAAGAAGCTGTCGGAGCTGAGCAGCTCGCAGCAGAGCGTCCAGACTCTGTCTCTGTGGATCATCCACCACCGCAAACACTCGGCCCTCATCGTCAAAGTGTGGCACAGAGAGCTGAAAAAAGGTGAGACCTGACTGCCCTCCTGAAAACCCCCCCACACATTTGTGTGTATGTTGCAGCCAAAGAGAGAGCCGGTAACTAACAAGTAAAGGACACTGTACACAGACTGTAAACTCATTTTACGCTGTGAGCCACGTACAGCACACTGCAAAGCCCCTTTCTGTCAGTGCAAAGAAGTTTAACTGTGCATTTAATCCATGACATTATTTTAGTTTCAGGAAATAAATGTGTAGGATGACTTCTGGTATCTTACAGCCCAGTCTGTCCTGTACTGTTTTGTTTTTGTTTTTTGTTTTTGTTTTTGTTAATAGGAAATAGCCTTTCTTAAAACTGTGGACCTATTGTAAAAAACAAACAAACCCAAAAACATAAACTGTTATACTGCATTGTACGGGGGAAAAAACTATTTTTCTCTCAGTTAATTGTTTATCTGTTGCTTAATTACTTTGGTGCAGTATGAACAGTCAAGGGGGAGGTCTTTCTCAGTAGGAAAAGCTGTAATCCAAAATTTATGCACCTTTCTACATTTTCCAAAGCTGTTTAGTGGGCTGAATTGGAATCTGTGCTAGGCTGATTCTGGTCCTTGGGCTTTATGTTTGACACCCCTGCCCTAAGACCTTATAGATGGTCAGCTTACATGGGTGTGAAAGAATAGAAATACTAGTAAATCCAGTTTTATTGCGACTAACAGTGTATTTTTCCTCATTCTTATGCAGTAAGTAAAGGAGATGGGCATGATGAAGGGAAAATATGCCAATTAAAACTCAAACTGCAACTCAAACTCAAAATAATTTGAATGTGAGAAACTGATAATCACTCTGTGAATTTTCCTTGTTAATTTTGTTAAAGCTAACGTTTAAAATGAGATATTTTTCATGTACGTTGCAGCTAAAAGCAGCAGGAAGCTGACATTCCTGTATCTGGCTAATGATGTCATCCAGAACAGCAAGAAGAAAGGCCCCGAGTTCACCAAAGACTTTGAGTCTGTGCTCGTCGATGCCTGCTCCCATGTTGCCAGGTATATTTTAACGGTGACCACCGTGTTCTCTAAGTCTGCTCCAAATTAGACTCTCCTGAATGTAGTAAATGTGTGTGAGTCTGTGTGGGGAAGTAGATGCATGGGAAGTCATTTGTTTGAATTTTGTTTTGTGTTTTTGCTTATCTATTAAGCACAGCAGATCCCATCTGGATGTCTGCAGCCCCCGTTATCTTTTGTTTTTTAGAAAATATGTCATAAAAACTCTGGATGTGCTTTGATCTTTTTATAGCCTTCCTGTGCGTCTTTAAATTTAAAAATTTTATGTAACTCGTTACTCCCTTATTGTCTGCTGAAATCTGTTGCTCCTCTCGTCGCCCTGCAGTGATGCAGACGAGAACTGTAAAAAGCACATGGAAAGACTGCTGAACATCTGGAAGGAGAGGAACCTCTACAGAAGCGACTTCATCCAGCAGCTCAAACTCGCCATAGAAGACTCAAACAGCCCCAGGCCTTCAGGTTAGATGACTATTACATAACATGTTGTCACAGGTGTATGTAAATGTATACGATGCGTTTGACATCACAGCATTTCACTTTAAAACCGTGGCCGGGATCACCAATACTGAAAGAAGTCACATTTTGTGGACGTTTGTTAGAGAGCTGTCATGATTTATGAGGTGACTGTATCAGTGGGCTGCGTCTGAGTAAATACACTGATTACGACTGAATAATTCTCCAAACAGGAAGCCTTTCTTTTCACTCTTTCACTGTTAACAACATGTGTGTCGACACACCTGCATTTGCAGGTAAATGGCAGGTTTTTACTGAGTTTGTATCACAGAACAACAGAAAGAGCAGCGTTCAAGTACCCAAAATGTTATCTAACAGTAAATACATTTTCGGGTTTATCCTGTCGACATCAGTATGCCATCATAGGTGTTAAAGGAAACACATTAGTGACCTCATGATGTGTTTTTTCTGTTCTGTTATCTCCAAACATCACTCTGCAGAAGAAAAAAAGCCAGTGAAAAGAAGCTATCAAAAGATCCAGGAAGATGAGGACGATGATGACAACGACTATAGAAGCCACACTTCTCCTCGCAACGCAGATTCCACGGCAACTCAGCTGGTGAAGATGCCAACGTTTAATCCAGATAATGTTAAAATGGTGGTATTTTTGACTGGCCTCCTTACTGATCTCTTATTACTGTTTCCCCCACTTCCTTTTTTTCCCTTGTCTCCTGTCTTTAAACACACTCTGGCACACGTGCAGACAGAGGAGCTGGTAAAAGCCCTGCAGGACTTAGAGAACGCTGCATCAGGTGACGCAGCTGTTCGTCAGAAGATTGCCTCGCTGCCGCAGGAAGTCCAGGATGTTTCCCTGCTGGAGAAGATCACAGGTAAGGCTTGGACAGCTCAGCTCGGTTTTGGACAAAATTGTTGGTAACCTTCTGTCAAAGAAAGAACAACCTACAGTGGTCACTAAAATAATAACTTGAAACTGAGATAAGTAATAACACTAAAACAAAAAACTTCAAGAAAATCAGACATTGCTTTTAAATTGTCGTTCAGCAGAATCCTTTTTTTAAACAACTAATGAAATTGGCCTTGCTATAAATGATGGTATCCCTAGAAAAGACTGATTCCACTAGTGCCTATTGAGCTCAATTCGACTCGGCTTTTATGGTTTTTGATAGTAGGACCTGGTACCAAGCGAGCTGAATCGATCCAAAAATGTCATGCTAACAGACGGCATGCTGCCAATTGGCAAGTCAGTGGTGTCATGAGAGTGAGTCATGAGAGTGACTCCTTCACAAAATTCAAAACAGACTTTCTTTAAACCCTGCAGTTTCAGCCAAATTGCTGTAATGATCCCATCCACATTAGATGGTAGTTGATTATAATGAAAAATGAGACAAAACGAGTGGAGTTGATCCGAGTAGGTACCGGTACTAGTGGAAAAGAGCCAAGGTAAACTAGATTGTGCCCTGTAATTAGCATCACAGGTGTCTTCTATGGTGTGTACCACACTGACCACAGAAAGCTAAGGAGAGAGCAGCCTAAGGAGATCTTTTTGTAGAGCTTGAGCTTAGATTGTTTTATCTCTGCTTTCAGTGTGATAGAATTGTTCCTTCCAAAAAGACTCGCACTCAATCAATAAATGTTAGGACAGAACATATATACAGCAATCAAGTACTGCATGCAGAGGAGCGTGTTTATCTGGAGTAACCTCAGTTTAAATTAAGGCTCTGAGATTAACAACACACTTTGGCTCAACTCTAGACAAAGAAGCCGCAGACAAGCTCTCAAAAACTGTGGATGAAGCCTGCTTGCTGCTGGCAGAATATAACGGGCGTCTGGCCGCAGAGCTGGAGGACCGGCGGCAGTTAGCACGTATGCTCACTGAATACATCAGCAGCCAGAAGGAGGCACTCATGGAGAGAGAGAAGAAACTGGAGGTAAGGCACTTGACAGACGCAACAGTCATTAGAAAAGGATGTTTGAATGCTTGTGTTTGTCTCATTAATAAAGGGAGCTGTAATACCTGTAATACACTTTGTAGAGTTAAGTACAGATGTCTGAACTCATTATAGCAGTTACCATACAGCATGCCATATTATTTCACAGATAACTGCAGGAAAAATACCTAAAGGTAACAACACCCCCATCTTTTTGAGGTCATGTTCAGTGACTCAGATTAGCTGAGGAGATAAAAACAGCTGCAAACATGTTTATTTCTGCTGTTTAGAAGTTTAGAAGCAGTTTACAGCTAATGCTTCAGCCCTGAAAGCACTCATTGGCTAAAAACATGCCCACATAGCTGGGAGCATGTCTGACATGGCAAGAAATAAAAGAGGTCAGAAGGTCAGCACAGATCTGGTTATCACAGTTGGCAGACGTTTATTCTTGGATGTTTAAATACAATTTTGACGTTTATTACTGACATTTTGGTGCATCTAGCTTTAGAGGTCATCTCCCTTCTTTACTGCCTTGCTCTTCTGTTTCCTGCCTCACATGTTTTCATATTAAAAAAAAGATGTAATTTGCTCATACCTGTGCGTATCGTCATTTTTTCGGTAGGAGTATAAGCAGAAACTGGCGAGAGTGACTCAGGTGAGGAAGGAGCTCAAGTCCCACATCCAGAGTCTCCCTGACCTTTCGCTGCTGCCCAACGTAACTGGGGGTCTGGCCCCGCTCCCCTCAGCAGGCGACCTCTTCTCCACCGATTGAGAACCCTTTGCCTCGACGAAGTCTCCCGTATGCTCCTCCCCAGACAATCTCAGCTCCACGTTGGATTTACAGAAATACTCCCAACTGTGTCTCCAGCCAGAGGACACGTGTGGTCAATCCTCTTAACAGTCGCCACCCTACCTGCTAACTCAAACCTGCAGGACGAGGACGAGGAAGGCTTTTGGTAAAATGAGAATGCTCTGCAGAGGAGAATAAAGACTCTGTCAGCCTGTTTATTTTGTTAGTTTTTTTCCCCCGTACCCTCTCGATCGTCAAGGATTCCACTTCACCAGCTTGGAACAAGTTTCCTGTTGCTTTTATTTTGTTTTAAATGCTGGAAGTTTCAGTGATTTAGGAAGAGGAGCTTAGACGTAAACCTGGTTATCAGGACATGTCAGTCGAAGCATCTGGCTGTAAGTTATAGTTCGGATTCAGTGAGCAAAGGCTGTCTGTCCGCTCTCTTAATTCCTAAAGGCTGTGGCTACACTGTGAAGAGGATGTACCATTCATTAGGTTTACTTTTTGACTTTTATTTGCTTGGTTTTTATCGACAAATTAGAGAGATTGTTGATTTACGGTGTGTAAGTGTGTGTTTGTATAGTTAGAAAAAATATCAGGCCACTTCAGTATGTGTTGCTTTTTTGGTTGTTTCACCGGACGCCACACACAGCGCTTTCATTAAAGTAACACTTGGTAGAGTCTGAAAAATGGGATTTGTGGGATACAATCATTCAGGCAGCAATTTTAAAGACAAGGGACTTTTTATTTTCCTGTATGTAAGGATTTTCCTTATTTTGATACAAAGGTGCACAAGGTTCAAAAGAACTGTTGTCATGCTTTCATTTGAAATATGATGAAGCTCATTATGTTCGTTAGTGGAAAAGAGGCACAGTTTGAGTTTTGCTAATGAAATCCTGCACGTTTGAAAAAAGATCATCTAAATGCTAAAACTAAAAATACTATTGCTGTATCTTTTGAAAAGGTAATTGATAAGAAGGCAAAAATAAAAATAAATGAAGACATCAGGAGGATTGAGCCGTTATTAAAAGAAGTGTCAAGATAAACGAGTCAGAAAACGACATTTGCTGATATACTGATCACAACATGTTTGGAAAAGTTAAATAAAAGGGTAGCGTAGTTGCATTAATTAGATTATATGTTATTGCGAAATGAACTGACCATTCTCTACTTTAGCAACATTAATAGACACATTGGACTGATCAAAAATAATTATTAAATATTCCACAGTTCTAACTGCCTGTATCGATTTAAGTATTCAACAGGTTCACGCCTGCATCCCCTTCATATTTGTTTTTGTTTTCTCTTTTCATGGGTGATCCATCCTGTAACAAATGTGTTTATTTAGATATTGAGGTCAGGAAAAGTTGTAATTACCAAAGTCATTATTTTGGTACGAGCCTTTTAGGAGCAGTTCTGCGAGAAGGCCATTTTGTCATTTTGCTTAACTGATATTTAATTTTCAGTTGTCTGATACACACAAAAAAAAAACATTTATTGAAAAAGTTTATGATAAAAAGATCAGAGACGTTTAACAAACTGCTCATTTCATTAGCATCTTCAGAAACACGTAGCGACTCCTGCTGCTACAGCTGAGGTGATTTTTTTCCTTATATAAAAGAAAGATTGTAGAAGCTGTAGCTTATCTGCTGATTCCAAACGCTCAGCTGAGACATGCTGTTCATGGAAAACCGTTGCAGTAAAATGATTGGCCTCTCCCGGAAGCCTGAAACCACGAAATCTTTCAAAGAGCAGGTGAAAATTAGCAGTTTTCTGCAGCGTTTGTTCAACCAAAGGTGTGGATGCATTCGTCAGAGTCATTACTGGGGTCATAAAACAGATGTTTGGGCTTTAACATGATCCCTAATATCAAAGTAAACCTTTGGACTTTGGATGTCGAACATTAAAGCGGAGCCATTATTTCATTAATTCATGTTCATCTGATAAAAACCAAAACCAGGAAAGATTTCAGTAAAATTTTAACCCAGATATGCTTGACTGTAGATAACACTTAGATATTTTCTTACTGACTTGCTGTGTGGTATGTGTTTCTCTATAGAATCAGTCTGTACTACCAGGACTCTGCCACTAGGGGTAATGTTTTTTCTGTAATGAAAGTGATTCAGTGGATGCCAATAAACTGGAACCATTTGAACAAATTCTGTGTGTATTTTACATAATTTCAGTATAATGCGAATATACTTACTTAAATTAAAAATGGGTTTTAATTATAATACATAATAACACAAAAATAATAATAATAATAATAATAAAGTCATATGTGCAAATCAGAGTTTTCCAGCCTTTCATTTAATGCAGTGAGGAAACTCGGGCCTTTTCACAATTTAGAGACCATGAATTACATTTCTGTCATAATTTTAAGTTATTTAAGTAGTGGACCTTATCCTTCTAGGATCTTTTCATTGGGTTTGGTGTATCCTCTATCTAAGAAATTCCCTACTTTAAATATTATATTACAGATATGATGGTGGATGTCAGTAAAAAATCACAGGAAGATGAAAGGGGAACAGACCCTTTATCATGCTCCTTAGAAGCTGTAAGGGTGGAGGAAGAGTCCTGACTTCAGAAAACTGCATGTGACTCGAAGTAGAGTTCAACAAATACTCAATTTAAGGGGCAAATAAAATTTTTTATTTATTTATTTATTTCCATTAATCATGAATACTACATGAATACATATATAGATATAGCTGCGTTATAAAAACTTGACTTTTATGCACCGGTTTACAAATTGTTTACGTTTGTAAATCAGTGCATAAAAGTTTCAAGTGTTTACACCAGTTGAATCTGAAGTGTCAATTCTGACTTTTTGTGTATTGCTGCATGGTTGGAGAGACTGAAGTCTAACAAGAACAAGGAAGCTCTGAAAATGATACATAGATATTTCAAGATTTACAAGAGGAATGAAAAACTTGAAAACATTATATTTTCATGAATATTTCTATGTCTACACAATGTTTATGCTCAAAAAGAAGTAAGATGAAGTTTCACATTTTCTGTTCCTACCCTCTTATTTCAAATTCCATTGTTTACAAATCAATATTCCAAATTCGACATTAAACGATCCATACATTTTTAACTGTATACAAGTCTAAACTCATATACAATACACACATGAAACAATTTAAGCTCATAAACCAAAACAACAACAAACTACATTTTTACCTAAGCTAAACACCCTATGATGTTTGTAATTTGCTTCATATGGAATTATGCCTATGTGACAAACACCTTAATGAATACTTTACGTTTGGGTTACGCTTTGCTTAATCAATAAAAATCAGGACAAAGCTTTATTATAACACAATAGGACATCTCAGTCACTAAGAGGAACATTTCCTATATTCATAAAATTTATTGTTTTTAAACAATTGTGTATATTTTTGTATAGATGTACCTTTCTTAACTTCATCTGTACAGGTGTTCCACACACTAATGCCTGTGGCTGTAATGTATGATATCTATGAGAACACATCACACAGGTATGCAGCTCCAGCTTTTGTTCTTCAAGTGTCTATGCTGACTGATGAATAATTTTTGTGAGTAAGTTAACTGAGAATAAAAATACATTTGTTTTTCCTTAAATAATTTTAGTTGAAAGCTGCTTGTAAGATGCAACACAAAATAATAACCAGTAAATCCTGATTACACAGACATCTTTCACATATCAGCGATCACAATTCATTACACTGTAATTATGAAAAGACTCATTGCTGAAGTATACTTTTAATGTGGCTGAAGCAGACCTGAAAAACCTGCAGTGGCAGCGTCACAAAGCCAAGGCAGCCAAGCAGCCATGCACTGAGAAATTCAAAGATATCACCAGCAGAGACGAGTAAGTTGTTTTTTTGTTTTGTTTTTTTACAGTATCAGTCAAAGGTTTGGACACACTCAGTCAAAATGGAGTACTTCTTGGATGCCGGTTTAGCTCGGCTGGATGAGCAGGTGACCATATGCCGCATGGCTGAAAGTGGCGGGCCTGGGTACTAGTCCAACCTGTGGCCCTTTGCCGCATGCCTTTCCTGTCGATCTTCACTGTTTCTGTCAAATAAAGCTGTTAAAAGGATAACAAATATATTTTTAAAAAGGAGTATTTCTTTATTTTTCATTATTTCCCATATTTTATAATGAAACACTCAACAAAAGAACATCAACCGAATTGATGCAGTAAGCTTCCTGCACTGACTTCATGTTCATTGTGTAAACAGTCAAAGAGTTTCGTGTTGGTTTTTATTATGACTTGTCTCGGATAATGAGAAACTTCCCTGTCTTCGGGTGTGTGCATATATTTGACTGGGGCTGTACCTGTTTGCCTGCTCTAGAGACATTTTACAGAGGCTGGATGATATTTTGACCCCTTACATTAAAATTCTAAATATGATAGAAACGATTTCACATATTGAGTTAAAAACCTCGAGACCTGGCTCTGGATACGGAGAAGAAGATGGATGGATGGATGGATGGATGGATGGATGGATGGATGGATGGATGGATGATGGATGGATGGATGATGGATGATGGATGGATGGATGGAGTTAAAAACCTGTCAGTTACAGAGACTTTTGTTTTTTCATTTTTTTTTTAAATAATTTTTTTCTCAAATTTAAATGTTGGCATCTTTTGTGAATCCTTTGCTGCTTTTCTCCCTTCAGTCATAAACGGTTGATAGGGTATTGTTGTCACCCCACCAGGCGGGTGGTGGATGGCCACACGTTCGGCATGGACATCCAACTTTGTGATGACTCAAGAATGAGAAGATGTAGGATTTTCAAATTAATACCATAGGTACATCTACTAAAAATCTAAGTACAATTTGCTGACCTTGATCTCAAGGTTTAAAATCAGAGGTCAAGTTTTCTTCCAGTGAATCACGCAAGAAGGAAGACACTAAGGATTTTTAAATTCATCTACTAAGAGGTTGAACTAGCACTAGCAGTGGTCATTATTTTGTCCATTATATTTTTCTTTTAAATGCACATTTGAGTCCACCTTTCTTAATAAAATTGTCCCTCATTGTTGATTTGGTTTTCAGATCCTTGAATGGGAGAGAAGTTTGCGGAATTGAGGACTATCAGGGCAACCACACCTGACAAATCTGATAAATTTGATAACAGGAAATTTCTAAAAACTATGCAGCATACTGAAGACAAGTGTTTCAGGGTTAGTGTTGCACAGAGAATACACTTTACTGTCAGTTTCACTGTGATTTTGCCAACTTCTAAAGTAATAGATATCTGTTGTGCTTGGTATTAGGTCCCCTTGATGTTGGAATCCTTTTAAAAACAAACGCTAAGATGTTTTTTAACTTAAGGCTTGCCAGTGCTTAAATAGCCTGATAACCAAGAATGGTGAGTTGAAGGGGGAGCTGTATGCACTACTGATGGAGAAGAAACAGTTTCTACATGTGAAATCTTTGCTGGAAAATATGAGTTCAGTTTTCCAGCAGAGTTATTAAAGGGTCCAACACTGCCTGCCTCCCTTCAATATACTCAGGGTGTCTCTCTGTTATCTGGATTCCCTTACCCTAACATCTGCAACAAAAAAAAGTGATCACAAAGCTAGTTAACAGCTTGTTGAGTAAATCCAGGGTTTCCCCTGCACGTTTCCATGTAAGGAGTGGCATTGGTAGCATCTGACCAATCACAAACATGAAAGAGTGTAGTGGCAGCAGAGCAGTTGATTTTTCAAAGGAAGATAAAACTATACTACCCGAAAAATCTTAAGAGATTAAACTCACAATACAGGCGGAAAACAATAAAGCTGCTGCAGACAAAGTAGTGACATGAACGTGTGTGTGAAAGGAAAAGGGCTCTACAGTAGTTTAGTAACAAAAGAGGTGTGTGAATTTCTGAATGTGTTTAAGGACTTTGGTCAGCGAGACTGGAAATACAGTGGGGCAAAAAAGTATTTAGTCAGCCACCGATTGTGTAAGTTCCCCCACCTAAAATGATGACAAAGTTGCATCTTAATCTGCAGGTGTTAAAACCCTTTTTTTTCCCCTTCTGCCCTACCTTGGCTCATATCTGCAGCAGGTTTCGTGTCCTTTCACTCTGCAAAATCACACTTCAGCTGCTGCTGCTTATTGGTTAAAGACTGCACAGTGTAACAGCTCCTGAGGGATATTTGTAGCATGTGTAACTTAATCGGGACGCCCCCATCTGTCTGCTCCTCACATCAGTAACTCTGTTTTTAGTTATGAAGGTCAGAGAGACAACACTCCTTCCTTTTTTGTGAACTTTCATTCTGCATCTAGCATTGTGACAGACTCTCTTCACGACCTAAACCAGTAAATCATGTGTTAAAACAAACAGTGCTAACTCAGCAAAGTAATAGCAATTAGGCTCAGTTGATGTGAGTAAATAATTACACTACTACTTACTCACTAAATTTAAAGATAAAAACAAAAACAAGTTTTCCCCAAATCATTTACATCATATATTAATTTATTGTTGAACATAAAAGTATAAATTACATTTTACAATGTAAAACAGGAACACATCCCACTGACTTTTCAAATTAAGGGTAGGTAATTACAACACCAACTTTTGTTTGTTTGTTTTTAGCTCAGTAACATTAGGTTATATAAAAGCACTGATGAGGTTTTCCTCATGTTGCTTACAGGTCAGATGGTCAATATGAAATGGCTTTTGTAAAAACAACAAACAGACAAAACAGAAGACCACGGCTGAAACATAACATTAAAAAAAATCTAGTTTTTGCAAAATTATACTGTCATCAGAATATATCATGCACGTATGTAGGTAGCACAGTAAGTGTCTGTATCTGTGAGGATGTTGTGTGTGTAATAAGGAAGGGCTGCATTTCCTCTCTTTGCTCCTCACATGACTGAGTCGTTTAGACCTTAATTCAGGGTGGAAAGAAACAACACAACCCTACTGACCTTGAATAGGAAAAATTAAGAAACAGAACTAATTTACATCAACAAATAAAAAGTATAAAAGAAAGCAAGTCAGCACAAAGGAAAGGGATACAGATGCACAAAAGGTGAGTGCCATGAAAAACAAACATGCAAACCAAAGGCTACTGTGTTACTGCCTTAGCTTTTCCTGTCATGATTTGTATACTCTTTATATTTACATAGAATAACAAAACTTAGAAAATCATGACACTCATCACCGGTACCTTTAAAGAAAACACATTTAAAAATGTGTTTTAATGGTCGTTTTCATAAAGAGAAACTTGGTACATGGAGCAGATGTAACGCTTAGTGGACCCTAGACGGTAAGTGGTTTCTGCTTGCAAGATTAAGGCCTTATTCTATTCACTGCTTATTATGAAGTAGCTTTTCTTGCTTCCCTGCACACACACAGTCATTTAAATCAAGATATGAAAACACACGAGTGACTAGTCTCTCCGTACAGATACATCGGTGGGTGGAGGATTACTAAGAAACTTAGAGGCATACAGGTAAAAAGCATCAGTTTAAAAATACAGTGGCAGTAAAAGGACCCTCAAAAGGTTACAGTACAGAAGAAACAGAAATGTATTTACGAGTGTTATTTACTGTAGATTAATTAAATTAATTTTATATTTCAATCCATACAGTATCCACATTTCTCAGTTTATCCCCATTCATGTTAAGCCTGAGTTTCCAAGTAGTACTGGGCTCTGTGCGAGCGTATTGGCAGAACAATGTGGTTAAGCTGGCAAAAATACATGATTGCGATTTACTTCCTAAGCAATGCTTTGACTTTGACAAAAGAAAAAAAAAAAGCATTAAATACTCTAGATTGGAGTGGTTTATACATGCTGCTCTGGTGTTTGTCTCACATGAGCTGCTACCTTTCAAGACAGCCATAAATAAAACATTATCTCTGTGATCCCTGTTAATCAACAATTGTACAAGCTGTACAGGATAGAAGATCATACAAATCATATTTTAAAAAGTATGCAGTCATAGAATGCCTCCTTGCTATCTGGTCACCCCAAGGGGCTCTTTTATAACACAGCCTCCAGACATCAGCAGAAAAGACAAATCACACTTTAAAATATATATTAGTTATATTTCATGACATGAGAATGTTTTTCTGGAATTTTTGGTGACCTAATGTGAGGCAGCAGGTATAATTATTCCTATTCAACTGCATATTTTTGCTATGGTTTTAATCCACCACAGCTGTAACAGCAGATACCTGGTTCTTTATAAAGGTAAAACCTGCATTGGGGGGCATTAGGACGACTCTGATGGGCAAAAAGACTAGGCACACCTCGTATCACATATCTGATTGTGTTTATTAAAAAACTCCCACTGATGGCGCTACGTTTCACACTTCATGATGAATGTGTGACATCAGCATCACAGCCTTATCTTCTTCATATGATCAAATTTACCACATTTGAGTGACTGAGGTATGACACATGCAAAAGCAAACCCCAAACGCCTCTAAAATGACAAAGTCTGGTTGCACATAATATTTTTCATTCTGATAGTTCATCCATCTCTGCTGGGTGACCGCAGCAGGACTGACCAGCCTGAGTTGAAGTCCAATCTGTAAAAATATTAAAAGCACATATTATTCTGAATGCTGTGCCACTGATATAACCACATCTGTCACTATTTCTTTAAGAAGTGTCCTTAGGCTTCAAAGACTATTAAATGACCAACATAAGGTTAGCTGCTGTTATTCAAATTTAAAGGTTTAACAACAGAGAGTTTTATGGTGTATGTCTTTCAAGCTAGGGCTTGGTTTCGTAATTTTTTAAGGAATTTTAAATGCTGTCCCCCCCGTGTATATGCACTACCACATACACATGAATAGTATCCTTTTTTAATATAAAAAAACACAGAAAAATGACATAAATGTAGAATTTAACCTGCCTTTCTTCTGCTGGGGATTCAATATTAAACTTCTGTTGATTTTCCAATTATAAGTGCATCACCCTGCAAAACAAGAAACCACTCAAATATATTAGCATGTAATAAAAAAGTCAAAACATAACTGCATAACTTAAGTTCTTAATGACACTGAATCGTCATGTTGGAAAACTGCTGCATCAGACCTGCTAATGAACTGAGCTACAAAAACAACCTGAGAAACGCTGAGACCATAATTTTCAGCTCATTTACTAATTCACCAGGTTGCCTTGTTACACCTTCACCTGCACTTGAGAATTAGCCAGATGAGGAGGTTTGGGAGCTACACCTGGCTTCTTTCTGGTAGCTGTCGGTGAGCTGCTTCGCCTCGGGCTGGGTGTCCGACAGGTCTGTGGGTGGGTCTGTGAATTCTGAGATACACAGGAGGAGTCGTCCACTATTTCGCCACTGATGCAAGACAGACAGCTGTGCTCCGAGCTGCTGAAGAGATTCGTGCACTCCTCAGAAGACTCGGTGCTGTCCACTACACGGAAAGAAAACAGGTTTTTTGACATCAAACTGATATAAGTTAACATTTCATAGTGATGTTCAAGAAAAAAATAGAAACCTAGTAAAGATCGCACTGCAGTTTTTCACATTGCTGTGCCACTAGATTGGGCCAAACTAAAAGATAAACTTAAACCCTCCAGTGGATTTAAATATAACTACTGCTCTATGTTAGGATAATCACCATATGATTAGTTCTGATTTATCATTTAGTCATTTACTGTTTGAATACTAGTAAGTTAAAAAGTCAGCAGCAAACAAACACGTCTCTCTATAGGGAACAAAAAACCTTAAAATAAACTCACTCAGTGGATGGCGATCATTGCACTGCTCATAGTTAAGGTGATGTTGATGTAGGTGATGATTGTTGAGTTCATTGTCAGTCACAGCGTCAGGGGAGGAGCAGACAGCTGGATTGGCATCCACGCCCTGCGACAGGTTCCCGGGATGTCCGGCAGGGGGCAGTGAGCCACGGCCGGATGAGGAAGACGATTGGCTGAGGGTGGTGGAGGTGGTGCTGCCAGAGCCAATGGAGTGAGGTCGGGGATAGTCTAAACCCCTGTGTGAACAACACGCCACAGGGACTGACGACATACATAGATATTAATGAGACAATAATGGGCTTGATTAGTGAGCAATGAGGACTGTTGAAGTACATGCACATGAAAAAGTATTCTCTCCGTAGCTGGATTAGTGGGCTTTACCAAATGTCAGGGCAATCAATAAAATCAGTGCTATAAAAATTTGTTTATAATAATAATGGATTGCATTTATATACCGCTTTTCGAGACCCTCAAAGCGCTTTATAACACGTTTAGTACAACAAAGACCAAACTGATGCACAGCCCCCCATTCCCCAAAATTATCTGTGATGTGATAGAACAAGAAGAATGAAATGATATGCAATTGATTAAAAACAATTCATTAAAGAATTTTATAAAAATACAAAAAAGTAGTTTTTGAGAGTATTTCAGCGCTTCCTCAATTATAATAGCTTTTGTTTGATGTGCTCTTTGTAAGTGATACATGCACAGTGGAGGAAATAATCATTTGATCCACTACAAACCAGCCAGATTTGTGGTTCCCACAGATTACAATCAGTGTATTCATCAGTTAATTACAGATACTCCTGATCTCAAATTGTTATGTGTATAAAGCTCTCCTCTCCACCACCATGGGCGAGACCAAAGAGCTGGCAAAGGACATCAGGGACAAGATTGCAGGCCTGCTGGCTGGAATGGACTACAAGACAATCAACAAGAATCTTAGTGAGAAGATGACAACTGCTGGTGTGACTGTTTGGAAATGGAAGAAATACAAATGACAATCAGTTGCGCTTAGTCTGCAGCTCCATGCAGGATCTTGCTTCATTAGGTGGGAGTGATAATGAGAAAGGTGGTGGATTAGTCCAAACTACAATGGAGGATCTGAAGGCAGTTGGGCAGAACAAGCCCATTTTATGTAAATGACTCAATGGGCGTAAAATCTTTGACACACCCCATACCATACCCATACTGTCGGGCTAAAGAAGCATGTTAAGGTCGTGGAGTGGCCTAGCCAGTCACAGACCTCAGCCATATACAAAATCTGTTGACAGCCAAGAAAGATAAAGGATTAAGAGTTTCTGTAAAGAGGATTGGGCCAAAATCCTGATATGTGTGCAAACTTGGTGACCAACTACCATCTTACTGCTGTGGTTGCCAACAAAGGTTTCTCCAGCAAGTGCTAAAGCTTTGCTTGGGGATCAAATACTTATTTTATTCAATGACATGACATGAGACTGTTCACTTACAAATTCTTACAAATTCAGCAAGGGATCAATTAATTATTTCCCCCACTGTAAGTTAAAGTTTTTCAAATAACACGTAAAGTGCCTTTATTGTCACATTTAACTTAAATATGTTTCAGGACACAGCCCTTGATCAGATTTCCTGTATCCAGGGGATCTTTACTAGTGTAAAGATTCCAATTGGAATGTTACACTTTGGTGGTGTTACACCAATTGCAAGCATATCAGCTGTGGAAAAGGAATGATGTTTTTTGTTTTTTTTGCAATGGATTATAGTGATTTTCAACTCAATTAATTCCTAACCATCCCCAGAGCCATGACACAATAATAATTACAACCTAATGTCAACCTCAAGCCTTTTGGGAGGGTTAAATGGATGAATTAAATGTTAAACTTTTAATTAACTGAAAAAACTAAAACTATAGTACAAAGGGTGGAAATAACACCAAGACTGCAAGAGAACTCTGAATTGTTATGTTATATCTGATAGATGAAGTGGAATTTAGTTTAAAATGTTGTATGTGCAGCTCCTTACTTCTGTCGGTAACAACACAGCTGACAGCTCGGTCACAAATTGCAGCATCACTGGGTTGAATATCCATGAATGGCTTGCGGTCCATTCCCATGAATACCCTCTCCTGCATGCGCATTTCTGGAACAAAACGTAGATTCACAATATGTTTTTAAACCTGTGAAGCACCGTGCACTGGGTCAAATGCTAAATAAAGACAGTATGTTGTCACAACCTCTACTATGAGCAGCCTGATCCCAGAGTATCCTCTCCAGGTCTGTGGTCCAGGCTTTCTTCACCTCCACGCTTGAGGCTCTCAGAGTGTAGGTGTCCTCACTTTTTCTCCTCCGGAACCAGATCTCAAAACACAGAGCGCTCATAGCAGAGTTATGAGTCATCCCAATGTCATTTGTCTGAAGAAGAAAATAGAAAGAGATGTAGAAATTTCTCATCCTGGAGGATTCAAGCAGTAATTCCTTGTAAATTGTGTTTTAAGGTTCAAAAAGGGTTGACTGTTTAGGTTCTGACAACCCTTTGATGAGCAAGGACATGTGCAGACCTTGAATGACTGCTTGTAGATGTACACGTCGTTTCCGATGTCCGTCTTCTTGGTCTTGCTGAAGAGAATCAGATCTTCAAAGAGGAAGACGCGGCGGACACATTTCTTCTTCCTGAAGAAAACCGTGAACTCATCCTGGCGAATCAGCTGGCCTTGTTCTTTCAAATTCACCTGACAGAAAAAAGGGGACGCAACTGTCACTGTCATGCAACAACTGTAATTTAAGTTGACCCGGCCTCCCGTTTTAAAATCTTACATCACAATCCTGAATGGCATCCATGGTGAGTAAATCGTTGCCATGACGCATCTGAAATCGAATCAGAGCTGCGGCAGCCTGGATCTCGGCCCTCTCCCGCTCCCTCTCACTGCTCGTCAGGTCAGGCACATACACAGCTGGGCCGGACACGCTTTGCGCGCATATATTAGAAGTGCACAGTGCATCCTGGATTATATCTTTTGGCCTGTATGAGCCAGCCAAAGCTAACATGTCCTGGAGCAGAAGGCTGTACTTGCTAATTCTCTGGATAGGGCGCAGAAGGTAGGATGAAAGGTCCATCATGTCTCCCAGCTCCTGCTGCTTCTTCTGTGAAGGAACAAAAAAGGTAGAGCGTAAGTCTAAAAAGTAAAAGCATGGCACAAACACTCCTACTGTAGCTGTTGGACAATGGTGGGAGCTGTTCTTATATACCTTGGAAGGGTGCATTATTAAACATACTGCTACCCCTACGCTTCCTAGAAAATGCACTTATGGTACAAGTTTGAACATCCTAGGTGCCTAGGTTCCTTCTTGAGTTACCGCAAACACCAGATTTTCAGAAAACTCTGAAACTTTCAAAAGCCCCGATCGTGAGATCGAGGTCACACAGATTAGAATTTGTTTTTACCAGGTGCATCTATCGTATCTAGGGATGGGTACCGGTGTCGGTTCTGACATAAACGGTAGTAACCAGACGGAAAAGCAGCGCACATTTCGGTGCTTTATTTCGGTGCTTTTTTTTCCTGAGCTGTGATACACTTCTAGCCAATCATTTTACGTTTCCGAGGATAGTAGGCGGGGCCAGGTACGTACGTTCTGTTAGAGCAGAGCTACAGATTAAAAATGCCCAAGGCAAAGCGGTCAAAAGTCTGGCTGTACTTCACAGCAAAATATGCAAACTCAGCAGCCTGCAACAAGTGCTTTAAGCTGATACTGTCAAAGGAGGTAACACCAAGAATCCGATTAAACAGCTGGCGACGCATAGCGGTTTTTTTTTTAAAAGCCGAGAAATGCGCGGTATTTGATAGCTTGCTGCGAGACCTCACACCGTGCACGTCGGGTGGGTTGCCAGTTATCGGACCCGGAGCAACATCCCCCAAAAACCCGAAGAATAGAGTCCTGGCCCCTAGCCCTGCCAGTGTAGCAGAAATGATGAGGATGATGATGCAGCAGCAGCCGTTCTTCTCTGCGTGAGTAGCTTAATGTTGTTCGTGTGTAATTTACGTTGAGTAGGCTAACCACGTTATTACATTAATGCATGTAAGGTGAACTAGCAAACATCATCATAGCTACATGCGGCTGTCTTCTTGTTTGATGGCAGATACTCCCTTCACCCTGCCAAAAAGGCTAAAATGACCAAAGAAAAAGTGGAAAACAGTTAAACATGAGAGGTTTTTGGACAAAGTTTGTGTTTTTTCCATTGATTAAGCACTGCTTCCAGCCAAGAGTGATACCATATATGCCACATAGCTGCAGAAAAGGCACACATTGTTATCTTTTTACAAAAAAACCCAGCTGAACATGAGAGGTTTTTGGACAAAGTTTGTGTTCTCCATTCTTTAAGCACCGGTTCGAGCACCGTTTAAGCACCGGCACCGTTTCAAAAGTACCGATTTGGCACCGGTATCGGATAAAACCTAAACGATACCCATCCCTAATCGTATCGATTTGAAAATCCTACAGTGCCTCATTCTTGATTTATCATGTTCACATAGTTGGGTCTCCACACCTCCCTTCCACCTGCCAGTAACGGGGTAAGTGGGTAACAACAATAGCCCATCAGCCCCTTCAGCTGAGGGGTAAAACGTTGTCTGTGGAATACTTTTAATCACTCAGCTCTTTTAGAGTTGTAAGTTAGAGTTATAATAAATACAGTAAATCTCCTTTACATCATTAAGTTAGAAAACTGCTTTAAAAGTTTTTCATTGACAGGAAGACGTAAATTAACCTTGAAGATGTCATGGGGACGGTGCAGGATCAGGGCATCTGATTGAGGTTTGTTCTTGCTGTACAAAGCATATAGACCAAAACTCTCACTCTGTGGAAAAATACAGTTTAATGTAAAGTGAAAATTTTTTCTGAGAAGAAGTAAAAACATTATGTAGAATAAATATTGTATGAAAAAGTATAACGCAGTCACAGAGTTGTTACTCACGTGTCTGAGAAAGCAGCGGGCCATCATCGCAGGCTCCCTTGGACAGGCCTCCAGCTCTGGCAGGAAATAGTGGCTGTGGAAATCATAAAGCTTCTCCAGGTTGCCAAAGATGACCCCTCGCTTGCCCCTGAGGTCCTGGGGGATGTCTAGTCTGTCCATTAGGGGGAGGTAGTGGGTGAGGATGTAGCCTAAGGAGCGGACATACTCCCTCTCTGTGAACACCAACTCCTCCATGACACGCTGCAGCCTCCTGGTGACAGGAGGATATAATCATACAAAATATTCTAAACAAATGTTAACATGCTCAGGTAAAAAAAAAGTGCAGACATCTTCTGATAACTACAGTACTGTGTAAAAGTCTTTAACCGGCCCTTATTTTTTTTATATTTTCCTACAAATATAGGTAAAGGTGCAGCGGTTTATTGTAATGTGCAAACATAAATGGGAATACAGTATATAAGGCAAAATCTGTGTGTACAGTTCTGAGGTTGAAAGGTTGAAAGTGTTTTCTTTTTCGGATGTTGGCTGCCTTTTGTTTTATTCTCTGTCAAGATGACCTCACACTGCTTCAATAATGTTGAGTTATCATAATGAATGATTGTGTACCAGTGTGTTAGTTATTAAAAAAATACAACAAACTTCTTTGAAGAAAAATACAAAGAAATGAGAGGTGGTCCAAGACTTTTTCACAGTACTGTACATTCTCGTTGTTACGCTTATCATCAGCTATCTTTCCCATTTCAGATAGATACATTATTATTTTGCTTCCGTCACGTATATAGTAAGAAAAAAAAAGCCAGCATTTGTGAATTATGGAAACAACCCGCTGGGCACAGATAAATATTTACACCACGAACCTACATTTTTCCCCCAACTTCTTCTGCATTGGGTTAAATGTAAATTTATTGCAAACAAAGTTTCTCAGCACAGTATTTAAGATATTCGAAATTTCCAGTGAGGTAATAGCAGCACTGATAGTCTGTGCTCAGTAAGCCCGTTCCATCAATCCATGACACAAAGATGGAAAAAACAGAGGGAAAGTGAACAGACAGTACCTGTAGCTCTTCATTGCCAGCTTAGAGACAGAAAAGAGTGCATGAAAGACTCACATGAGCCACATAAGATGAGCCAAATTAAAGTTAATCATCAAATATTACTTATTCTCTATAGGCCATAATGATTTCACCCACATACAGAAGACTTACAGGGCGCGGCTGGCACTCCCATGTGGACTCTCTAAACAACAGGTCCCCTCATTCCTCCCAGTGGGCAGGCTGGAGTGTTTGCAGCATGAAGTCCCTTTACCCCCCACAGTCCCGTGGTCGCTCATGCAGGAGTCTTCTGAGCAGAAGCTCCCATGGCGGGAGATCTGAAACTTCTGGGCTTCTTGGAGGATTCGACAAGACGGCTGACCATGGTGGGAACAAGATGATGGGGTTCGAACTCGCTGCTCTGGAGGAGTAGATGATCCTGCTTTTGCCACTCGTGTGGTACATGAGTCCTGACTCGCTGACCTCACCCCAAAACCCCGTCCCCATGGAAACCATTGGCAGCCGACAGTGTGGGATTGAGACAGAGCGGCAGTGTCTCTCTCGCTTCTAGCTCTGCTTATTTGTCTCCTCTTCACCTCTCTTTCTGTTCTCCTTTCTGACCTGTATAAAAATGACACAGAGACACTGTTACTACTTCTGTAGCACAGCCATGCTACAGAAAACCAACTCAAAACTGCCTTTAAGGTTCTTAATCATCTTAAATGTTTATTCAGATCCATAAATCTTTATTTTTTATGCCAGCGGAGATCCAAAACACTTTTTGTATTTTTTGTTTAAATTTTGTATACCATGACATAATGCACAGGGCATCTACAATTACTATAATTGGATTATAATTATTATTACACAGAGAAATTCTCCCAAATATTACAAATATTATCTAACAGAAGAGTGTGAGACTTGCTTTGGAAATCAAAGTGAGTTAAATATTTAATAAGAGGGATGGATAGACAACCAAAGAAATTATTTTACCTATGAGGAGATTGTGGAGCGACCTTTGACCCCTGGTAAATTCCAGCCTCACTGTAATCCTCAGGTTTAACGATGATGTTACAGCAGGCTACAGCTGTTGAATTAGCGCAGTTGTTGCCCAGGATCGGTCTTCTCTTTCCTAAATCCACCGCTCCTGACATGATGCTTTCCCACTGCGGATGCCGAGGCCCAGGGGTTGATTGTACCACCAAATTATGGCTGCCGGGAGAAGCTGTCTGAACATTAGTGCTCACCACGTCAACAAAATGACCTTCACACCAGCTGCTAGAATCTGGTTGCTGGTGATAAACCTCATCCACATTCTGCATCCTCTCCTGAAGCTGTTGCCGGGCTTCCTGACTTCTCAGCCAGGCAAAGTTCCAGACACGCATCCCCCGGGAGCCCTGCAGGAAGCTGGCCTGTGCCTTTACCTCCTGGAATTTCTCCGGGCTGAACTGTTGGAACCTGTCATGGAAAGCCTGGAGGATGGAGCTGTCGGTGCATGAGGGGGAAACACCGGTGGTGGTTGGATGTGAGCCTTGCTCTGTATGGATGTCAAACTGACAAAGGGATGCAATGTTTGGACTAGAGTCTTGGTTTTGGAGCAGAGTGTCTCTTTGTTTAACCTGTGAGGCGCTTTCAAGGTCCTGCACTGCATGGATTCTGGACTGACACTGGTCCAGGTAATCAATGCATTCACTGGACAGTGCTGTAGCCTGTTTATAAAAGAAATGTCTATTTAAATAAAAGTAAATGAAAAAGACTTCTTACTACTTTTTAAAAAACGAGTAGTTCTAACCTAGAAAGTCAGATGTTAAAAAATGCAAAGTACAGGATAAAAAGTATGAAAGTTTGGGGTTCCCAAACAGGCAAAACATGCAGTATGAGAGCAACAAGCGACAAGTATCAAATACAAACCTGCTCACAAAAATCGCACACGTTGACCATGATCTGCAGCTCTCTGCCACACGCCTCTGCTCGGCATAGGAAGTCCTCCAGGCCTGACTTGAAGGTACAGACAAAATCCCTGAACGCCTCAGTCTCTGGGTAGGAGATCCCTCTCTGCTGAAGCCGCTCGGCCTCTGACACCAAAGACATGGCGTGGTGCCGTCGGTCCTGCAGGGGGACAGAAAGAGAGACTCAGAGAGCTGCACAAACAAACACAAATACAGGGAGAGTGGCAATCACAAATAAAATCTTAGACTGACATTAGCTTCAATTAGGAAACCAGTGAAGATGTTGAGGATCTGCTCCATTCTGTCTCCAGAGTCCTCCACTGACTCTGCCTCCAACAAATGGTGCTCTCCCTCCTCATTAAACCACTGCTGAATCTACATAGGGGTGGAGACACAAAAGTTATGTATTTGGTAATGTAGCATATAAGAAAACTGAATATGTGCAGACTCCAGTGTGTGCATATGCATATGCATATTCAGCTGCAACTAAACTGAATGTGCTGCTTTTCATTTCTCAGTTAAAAGCAGCACTGAGTTAATTAAAATGTTTTAGTGTCTAGTTTTTTTTTGTTGTTCATTCGCATTATAACACAAAGAGAGCAGGAATAAAATATAAACTGTTTGCATATTACCTGTTTATATAAATATATATATATGTATATATAATATGTATGCATATATACATATATATATATATATACACACTGAGGTGTGTATATATATATATATATCAACTTAGAGCATAAATAAGTTACCATCAGTGCCTGATTTAAATTTGTAATGAAGTGATATTAAAAGCCACAAACTAGAGGAAATCTTGCACAAGCCCTCGTTTTTTCTTTTTAACACTATATTCTATATGATCAATTACAGCTAAATTATACTTTCAATTTATTTACACACAAAAATCCTGAAATTCTACACTTCAATACAGCCACCTAATTCCTTGCTGAATCAGTGGCCTTTTGTGATGTCAGGATCACAGGACCTACACCAACTTTAGTCTAAAAATACCTTTTCAAATAAGAAACCTTTAACCTTAGTAAACAGAACATCAGTCAACGTACCTGTGTGAAGTGCCCCTCCATCTCTCTGAGTTGGAGCAGGTACTCCAGGTGCTCCAGCGACACGTTGGACCGCTGCACGAGGACGTGAGCCTGCTCCTCAACGTGGTTGTACAGACCTGTCACTGAGTCCACTGCATCACTGTATTGAGGAAAACGTAACATCAAAGGCTTCACAAAGAAGTTGATAAAAGTAGTGAATGTCATTTTAAACATTTCAGTGTACTCCAGCACCCCCACTGAAGATGAGACCACACTTTTAATGTAACTTACCTGAAAAGATAAAGGCCAGCACCTACTCAAAGTGTAGGAAAACACTTACTTATAAATGAATCAGTGTGTCTGGCCTCATGTTCTTTCCTGTACCTGTTGTTTCATATTCAATAAACTACGGCAAATGTGATGTTAAGATGACACTTTGCTATTCTAACAATGTTTAATTGCCAGTTATAGAAAGATACTGACACTTGTTGTTTCACAGCAAAACCTGAATCAGACTGTAGGACAACAGCTGGGATTTTCTACACTTGCAAACATAGCATTAGGATGATTCGTGGTTACCTAAAGTCCTCACAGTGGGGGTATTTGAGGTCGCTCTGCTTCCTTAGCCTAGCCAGGATAGCTCCACCCTCTCTCTGCAGGCTGACCAATCGGCTGTCCTCCAGAACATCCCTCATCAGAGTCCTCTGGTCTATCATGCACTGCTGCACACCCTGTTACATAAAGACCAAACAAAGAAGTAGTTACTGAGGAGAAGGTAACCTCAATTTCCAAGGTCCAAATAACAAAATGAAAAACCAGTCAAAGGCAAGTGTTCAAGTACCTGTACAGTATCTGTCCTGCGGGGCTCCTCGAGCTTGCTGATGGCTCTCAGGAGCAGGCTGGAGGCCACATGCAGATCGTAGACAAATGGGAAGAGTTTCTGCAGAACAAAAGATGTGGCTAAGCAGTGAAAAGGCAGACAGGCATGGACAAATGGAAACAGTTAATATCATAATGTGACGGCCTCACCTGATGTAGCTCCTTCCAGTCAACGTTACCACGAGACAGTGTCCCATCCAGGTGTGAACTCAGCTGACTCACCTCCACCAGCTTCAGCAACGATTTAACTGATGTCACTATATCAGTCTGTCAAATTACCAGGAACATATTTAAGTCATTACTCAGTATTTAACCACAGGAGATTGTTCACTTATCACCTTTAGCAGACACATTGTAGATCTTTATGTAATCTGGTTTATTAAATCCTTCAAATTCTACATTTTTTTGCTTTCATTTTAACTAATTAGTGCACGGACAAAACTGGAACTTTGGACCTCTCGGTGTGTTTGCTGGTATTTGATTTAGATGATTGTCCTTATAAGATCAACAGCAGATCGTTTTGATCTATTTAGTTTTGTAATTAGTTCATCTTATACACCGTTGAAAACAAAACATCTGATAAAGAAAACTTATCTTTGATTAAAGACCTGTTCTTTCCTTCAACAGCTGATAGTCATGCAATATGACATATTTTACTCTCTTAACAAAATATTTAGCTGTTGCTAGTTAGAATTAGAATTAGAATTAGAATTCAACTTTATTGTCATTGCACATGCACAGGTACAGGGCAACGAAATGCAGTTTGCATCCATCCAGAAGTGCTTAGTGATATAGATATATTACAATATATATTAGCAATAATATAGATATGTAAGTATATTACAGAAATGGGTCTATTATGGTATGTTATAATGTACACGGTATGAAGTATGTTGTGAATATTCTATAACTATAAGTATGTACAGGCTGTAGTGAGTACAAGCTATGTACAGGATATGGACAGGATATAAATATGAAAAACTATACAGAATATGAAATAAATAACTTTACAGGAATCTGAGATATACAGCTATACAGAAATGGGAACTATGCAAGTTATAAACAGTTGTAGGGTTAAAAATTATCGTATGTACAGAATGATTGTTTACACAGGGCTATACAGTAGTGCAGTTAAGGTAAGTGAGGGTGTGGATAATTTCTACAGAGACTATATAAAGTGCTAGTGGTTGTGAGTGGTGGTTCACTCCATGTTATTATTGTGTGTTTGAGGGTACAGTTGTCCATTGTGTGTGTGTATGTTCAGTCCATGAGTTAACGTGGGTCAGATGTCAGGAGGCAGAGTTCAGTTGCAAACACATATAGGAGATTAGATTTCATTCACAAAAGAAAGAAATTGTCTTCTGGGGAACAGGACTGTAAATGCAAAGAGTCTCAAGATGTAAGATATTTGCATGGCTAGACACACATGCTTTTGCACTCTTAGAAATAATGCATAATATATACATATATGGCATGTAATACATACACACAGATGTTCAGTGAGCTGGATTAGCGTTTGTGCTGAGCTGATTCTGCCCCCTGGGCCTAATGTTTAACTCCCCTGCTTTACGAGGGCTTTCTTTTAAAAATGGATGTAAAGAGTGAAAAAGCTGACCTGTATCCCTGGACACCTTTCTGGTCTGAAGTTGTTCTCTTTGTCCACCAGCATAACCAAACTGCTCACTGCTTGAGGGCGCTGCTCCTGCAAGGATTTAACACTCCACTGAGCTAATCATGACAAATAAATCAACAGATGTATACTGAAAACTAATGTCATCTCTTGCTCTCTTGCAAACAAGCAGGATGCTGATGCATTTTAGGACTTGATCTTTCACCCAGTATTTATGATCTGCAAACAGGAGCACTCAGCCAGAGATTAACACATAAAACATCAATTACCTGTGATCAGCTGTAGCAAGCTGTAATAAGGAAAGTTTGTTTGCTTCATACCTGAAGAGTCATCAAAGCTTTATAGAGGTGCGGCTGAGGATTAGTTTTCCTCGCATCGAACACTAGTGTCATCCCACTGTCTCTGATTTCTGTCCTACAAAAACAAACATTCCAACTAGCACACAGTATTTCCACAAATAAAACAGAGACAACCACATAAATGAGAAAACTCCTGCTTTCCAGCAGGTCTGTGAATGCAGAGAGGGTCTATTTTAAGTGTTTGGTTGAATGATTTATTCATTTCTTACCTGGTAATAGAGTGGAAGTAGAGCAGCATCTGGAAGATCTCCTGGCTTGTTACAGCTGTTCGCCATCCCGGGTGGTCACCATACAGTTCAACTACTGCCCTGCCCGTCCTGTCTCTGCCGCCTGGAGGGGTAAGAGAAAGGAGAGATGAGGATAAAAATAAAAATAAAATATGTTGCATACGCAGGAGGGTTTTCACAAACGAGCTGATATATTTTCAAAAGTTTAAAAGTGAGAAAAACTTTGCAAAATAATACTGCAGCTGACAAAATAGTGAGGACCAAAGTCTAGAATAATAATAATCAAAAAAGAGAGAAGCAAACAGATGGTTCAATGTTTTCTAGGTACAATGCATAGTAGTGAAGGCTTCTATTAGGAGTAATGGGTTACGCAGCAGTGTTCATATTTAAGATTTCATCATTGCATAATGACCTCTAACTACAGGTCAGTAGAGTCGCCTGCTTCACATTTACATGAGGAGTCCAACAACACATTGCAGCAACCAAAGACAAACAAACTAGACCCGAGCAAGGTCATTCACATTTTCCTGTAGAATTCACTTGGTTGAATTCTGAAACCACACTGTTAGATGCCTCCAAGTTAAACACAACACTTTATAAGTGAATTTCACAGCAAATGTTGCAAAGCAAATGTTTTCTATGAGCGCAAAAACAATAAAATATTTATTTTCATAAATAAATAAAATCACAGATACAGACTGTCACACTGAAATAATGTCATATATTAGATAGCAGATGAGATTTTTATATTGATGCTTTTACACTGCAGCTCTGAACCTTTCTAGACTTTATCCAACAGAGGTGCAGTCAGGTCATTAAGCAGTCTGATGTGTAACTGCACCCAACAGTCTAGTAAAGCCACAGCTAGCTACTGGACTTCTGGTGTGCCGCATACTGCATGCTGTACTCAGAGAGCATACTTGCATAAGGCCAGTGGAGTATTTTTTACAGTGGTATTTGTGAGAAAGAGCAACAATGTTCCAAGATGATTCTTCAATCAGTGCACATGGATATTAATGGATAGCTTTTTATTTTATTTATTGTATATCAAATTGATTACCTGTAAGTGATGCTACTCCCAGATAGAGGGGGTGGGCTCCGGGGTCTGGAGATCCTAGAGGTAAGTGGTCAGGTCTAGGACGAACAGAGGGAGGCCGGGAGGTCTTCTGTGTCCCTGCCACTAGAGGTGTATCTGTCTGTGATGGTTTCTGTGTTTGCTGGCTGTTTCTACTAGTTATGGAAGCGCTGCCAGGCTGATCACCATCTGAACAAAGTTTGAAAACAAAATAAAATGAACCTAACAACACCAAAATGACCGCAAAGACAACTACAGAGAAGAATGACTTAAGTATGTACCTAGAACAGCCATGTTCCTCCTGTTGATCTTTGGTGAAACTAATCTGAAGGCGGTGCTGTTTTTACATTTAACCACATGCAGCTGGGGAATCTCTGCACAGGAGTTGCTATTTTCTTTCCTCCTGACATTTTTACCATCGACGATAACCAGTTCACACTTCTCTGAGGTGTCCACAACAGCAGTGGAGAGGGATGAACACCTTTTATTCGATGTGCATACTTGTGTGTTTTGTGATGCTGTGAAAGGGCTCCCCGCAGAACTTGTTCTGTTTGGCAGCTGCTCGCAGGGTTTGAGGGTCACGTGCTTCCCAGAAATTTCATTCGAACTAAATAGTAATCCGTGGTGTTTGGTGGAGACACGTGACTGTCCATTTGAGCTCGACTGAGCTTTAGCGTTAGTCATCTGTGTTTCTACTGTTGAATTTGTTCCATTCACATTGTGTGTACTGCCATAGGCAGAGTTTACATCCAGTGGTTCCCTAAATGGCACTGTGGTCCTATCATATGTCTGCTCTGGTAGCTCACCAAAGTGACAAGCATTTATTCCCCTGTAATCCATACAGGGGGTGATGTTTATATCTCCTGGTTTCCAATACGGAGCTGTGTCATATTCTCCCGACTCCTTACAAACAGCTTGAGGACGGTGGTTTTGCATCCCAGAGTCACCATACATTCTTTGAAAATTAAAACACAGATCCCTTGTTTCATTCTCAAGTGGCCCCTGTCTGTTTTTACACAGTGAGAAATCACCATCCTCCTCCACCACAGCTAATGCAGCTCCTTTCTCTTTCTCCTTTCCAAATGTGACGGGATTTTGCAGCGCAGCCTGGTAGGAGTCCCTGTATCGACACCTCAGCTCCTGAGCCCTGGAAACCTTTCCGCCCTGTTTTCTTCTCATGCATGGAGTACAGGGTTTCTCTGAGAAATGCACAGTCCGGATACACTCAGAGGGATCAGTGAAGTCAGAGTGAGGGTGGTGAGGCTGGGAAGGACTGAAAGTGGATGGAGGTCCTTTTTCTGCAGACTCGTTGGGTCTAAGATGACTTTGCGTTTGAGGTTTTGCAGGTAGCTGCACTGGTGCTTGCCACTGTGTGGGAGGTGGCATCCGTGTTGCCGTCTGCCCTTGTGTTTGCCTGTGTGAATCCTGTGGCTGGATTTGTGCAGGTCTCTGCAGATATCTCTGCATTTGTCCCTGAATTTGTGCATGTGGTTGGATTTGTGCCTCTGATTTTTGTTTTTCTTCTTTAATTGACTGAGCTCTACCGAAAAGCATAGTGGCTTGAAGGATATCAATATATTCCCCTTCTGCACCAACAATGGGTGCTGGCTCACCTCTACTGGTATCTTGAAGGTTTCTATCTTTACCTTTATCTTGCGCTGTGATTTCAGCACCCTTATCTTGACCTTTGCATACAATTAGATCAGTATTCGTAGGGGTCCACGTATCTGAAACAGTGCTTGGTCTTGTGCTTGTACCTTTCCCAGTAAAGCGGCTATCCCACGTGTTAGGGGACACCCAACCTAAAGGCTTAGGCTCTGATTCAGTCTCTGTAACTCTGATCAGCCTTGACGAAGAAGCAGCACTAACATCAACCAAGCAAAGCGACACAGCAATACCGTGCTTTGCTGGACATATTCTGGTCTCCACGGAGAAGGGAGAGGGATGTGAAGAAGATGTTAAAACTGAATTTTGAATGGTTAGAGGAAGCAGTTTGAGTGCAGATTCCTTTGAAGGAATAAGTGGTAAAGATTGATTAGATGAAGAATTAGGAAGAGGTGAAAGGAGAGGAAGCGGAGATGGCAAAGCAGGATATGAGCGAGGAGCAGAGGCCATACTACTCCTAGCACTGTGTGGCCTGTCGGCAAATTCAGGCACGGCCACCCGTTCCCATGGTAACCTCACCACGCCCTGCTCTGTGGCAAGCAGGCATCGGCTGAGAGGCGTTCCCTGGCGGCCGTTGTTGAGCTCATCTAACCAGTCGAGGCTGAATATGCAAGGATAGGAAGTTTCAGGAATTGGGGTTTCCTCTACTAATTCCTCCAATAAGTCCTCGTCTTCCAGGAGGCTGCAAACCACGATGCGAGCTGATTGGTCACAGAATGGTGCCACCTGGAGATAAAAATCACCCGGCTGAAGTAGCACTGGGTCGATGGGAGCAAGATGGACGACAACTTGGTCACATAAGCACAGAGGCCAGCCCTCATAGACGAAAAGAACACCAGAGTATGGAGCCTAAAGGGGACAGGACATGGGCAACAGAAAGAAGTGTACTCAGTATTCTGCTCTATATTAACAAAAGTGCTGAATGTACATAAAAGTCTCTTTAGCTTAGCATCCCACTGGGGTTTACAAACAATGACTTACACATGCAGCCTGCTGCACGGTGTCTAAGATGTGCTTGGCTGGGACCAGAAAGTCCAGCAAGCACCGAAGGGCGTCTCCCTGATAATGATTGTCGATGACTTGGAAGAGCTGGCTGAGAAGCGTGGGGGCGGTGGCCTCAAAGGGCGGGAACAGCACAGACAGAAGGTTTTGGATGGATCCCTCGAGAGAATCAAAGTTCTGGAAACATAAGAGAGAGCAGAAAGCTACAGATGTTACTTAGCAACAAGTTTTTGAAACTTCATACCACTGATTTCCCGAATTACATCATGATGTCAGTGACAAAAAAAATAATCAAACACCTCCATCATTTTTACATATATTCATTCAGCTGCTTAGAAGTTGAACCTTAGTGCAGGCAATCAATATTTCATTCTCAATTTAAAAATAAAATTTTAAACTTTTTTGATTTTTATCATCTGAAATCATATTTAGACTAAATCTGTGCTAGCCAGTATTTCTAACCTTTGAGATGCTGGGATTCTTGCTTGATAACTGATTAATAAAATATTCTGACAGTCAACTGATCAATTTATCAGGTATCGAAACTGTGACTTCACGTTAACCGCATAAAATATTTACTTAGTGCAGTGCAAAGTAATACTAAACAGCAGTAAAGCAGGAGTCAGCTGCTTCCATCTGCCTGTTGTCCACAGTAAATTACAGAGGCCTTGTCCTCATGCTCACAGAACAGCTTCACAAACACACAAACACCTCAGGCTCATCAATGAATATCGAGGCAGCCGGCCTGACAACAAACATCCAAGCAAACATAGTGTGTGATGCCTGGTCCCGAGCTTCACAGGCCTCCTGGTTTATAGTTTCACATTCCCTTTGACCTGAACTCATGGCCCACTACCCACTTTTAGGCCCTTCTTTATTTAGACCAGCAAAGGCCACAGCACCAGACCTCTGGGGTTCACATACAGTATATACACGTACATGGGGGCTATATGGCTTAGAAGAAAAGTGATGTGTGAATCTCCATGCAGAAGTTGGATCTTATTACAGCTGGATATAGTGAGCATAGTTGTTTTGCCAGAAAGAAAAAAGCACATTTTCATACATGCCAAACCAGAATGTAAAAGTCACTGTCCACTGCATATTTTCATTAAGATTATTTACCACTCAGCTCAAAGATTCAAAGCTGGAGTGACAGACATGGATAAGCAGAGATGGAGACATAGACGTGTTTTGGTGTGATGAATTAGCGCCTCTGACACTGATACTTGCTCGCTGTCTCGTGTTCAAACCAATTCAGTTCAGTTGTATTTTTATATAGTGCCAAATCACAACAACAGTGGCCTCAAGGCCCTTTAAGTTGTAAAGTAAAGACCCTACAATAATACAGAAAATCCCCCCAAAATTAGATGACCTACCATGAGGAAGCACTTAACAGTGGGAAGGAAAAGCTCCCTTTTAACAGGAAGAAACCTCCACCAGAATGAGGCTCGGGGATTGGCCACCATGTAAATGAGAACAGGCAAGAGATATCATGTGTTCTGTATCTTTTTCTTGCCACTTCTATGAAGGGCTGTGCGGCACTTTTGGTCTTCATTAAGCAGTTTAACGCATTCATATTTGCATTTTCTCAAAAGTGACTTTTTCAGTTCTATGCATAACGTGCCTAAAGGTTTCATCTTATTTTATTTTTTTGCTGCTGCCTGTTCTCATTTACCATGTGGCCATCTACCCTCTTCATCTCATCCCCTTACATTATCATCCAAGGAACGCTGGAATCTCCACCAGTCCATAGCGCCTACAGCTTCAGAAACAACACTGTGACTCAGAGCTGTTTAGTCAGCTTTGACACATCCTGCTGGGATACAACACAACAATGGCTACTGGGGTAAAAAGAAAGAAAAGGATAAGGGGGTGTTTAAAAAAAGTGGTGGTGGGTGCTAAATGAGAGAAGATATGGATGGGTACAGACTGAAGCGCTTTATGAAGTGTAAGCAAATTCAGCTCATAGCACATACATTTTAAATGAAGGGTTTTCCTGTCTTAATCACCAAGAAAAGCACACCAGCTTCATCAACTCTTAAATGATGCCAGTGAAAGGGTATGCTGGTGTGGAGGTCTATATACAAGCCTCTGATTCAAGCTGTGCCTGCACTGCTGGTGATGGGTAAGCTGTGAGAAGCAGGACAAATCACCATTTACTGCATGTGCACCAACAAAGATGCCTATTTAAGCAATTTTTAAAATGCGTGTTTTTTAACTTATGTGTTTACTGGTTAGCCTGCCACCAGTATGCGGCGTATTAGCGGACTGCGCAGGCATGTCTCTCTGGCTAGGCAGATTCACATGGCTCTATATACACACCCGGATCTTTCTCACTCAGCCACTGAAATAAATAACGAGGCTCACATTACTGTGGATAAGATGTCCCAGTGCTGGAGCTGAGGACAGTTTGAATATTTATGTCCAGTATCATTATGAAGCAGAAATAGTCCTTGAACATTCCTGATGTCAAGGAGGTTCCTGTCTGGACAAAAAGAAGATACTTAACACTAAAGAATGAAAAGAGTGCACAGTGACATCCCTGTAGTCCATGTGCTTCTTGGGGAATTTTTCCTTTTTCATCAGTAGTCTCTGGTGGCAAGGGACAAGAAATGAAGAACAAGGGAATACAATGCACCAAAGGTCTAGGGTTGGATTTGAACCAAGGACAATGCGATTACATGCTGTCCCTCTTTGATCCCTAAACTAGGACACCAGCATGATCCCAACTGTGCCATTGTATGAAAATCCAGTTTAAAAAAAAGAGTGTCCAGATTGGATCATTAATATCCATTATTCCTGCTGACTGACATAAACAAACTATTTCTTGGAATGAATGAAAACATGCAGATATTTATTCTTAGGTTCAGCGCAATGACTTTAAGGAATACAGAAATTGAAAATCAACAAGAAAATGTTGTATTTGTGAACACTGACATCCTTGGAAAATTTATTTGAATCTTTTCTTGTTATTAACACAGTCAACCATTAACACTATTATCATTATCCACTCAAATATAATTTTTTTTGTGATACATTATAAGCAAAGAGCCTGAGAACTATGTGAATCCCAACAAGTCCGGCGTCTCTGATAGCAAAACCTCAAAGTCTCTGCAGACACTGACACGACCTCTAAATAAGCATTAAAAGAATCAATTTCCTGTGTTTATGTCTGCGGTTATTCATCGAAGCTGATATACACAGATTCTCTTCTGGATTGCACGAACTATTTAAAATGGTTTTAGTGCTGCCAGTTATAAGAAGTGCTGTGGGAGAAATGTGGATTCCTGTCTATTCCCAACAAGAAGGAGATCTTTCATTCCAATTCATTATTAGAGCTCCTGGAGATGCTGTGAAACTGTGTTTTTTAAAGAGGCGTCACCACTACAACAGATAACTAAACATATAATTTTCCAGCTGCCTAAGCAGCGGTCAGAACGAGTCATGTGTGGCTCCATTCATGGCTAAGTGTAAGTGTATCATATTTGATACATGAGTTTTTGAGACTTTTATATCATCACAGGGGATTTTTCCCCCCCTGATACAGTGGGCCACATTCATGTAATATGCCAAGAAAACATTTCTGTCACACCTTAAACTGTGTTTGAAAGTGAAAATTAAATCAAAATTTGGCAGCTCAGTTAATTATGCCTACAGGGAAAAATTTATTACTGCACAACTTCATTATTATTATTATGCTTTAATATGCAATGTTTACCTTCTGTTGCATCTTCTGCAGTACAAAGCATTGATATGCACTGAGTCCACTCTGTGGAGAAAACATTTGGGCTAGCTGAAAGTGTCCTCCTGTTATGCCTCAGCAGAGGACAAAGCTGAGAAAGCAGGAAAGCTCAGTAATGGGATCTTTAACCAGCTGGAACAATCTTAAGTGATACTAGATGCTGAATCAGTGAGAAACTGAGGTCAGTAAATTCTTATTGACACCACAGTCATATTCTCCTGTACATAGTCTGTGACTTGCTGTGGAGAATTGACAACATTTAAGCGTGTACTTGACCGACGGAAAAGGGGGGACTCTCCACTCCAGGTTAGGGACGAGTTATTGGCCCAAGTTGGGGAGTTTAAGTATTTCGGAGTCTTGTTCATGGTTGAGGAGAGAGGAGAGTGGGAGATCGACAGATGGATTGATGCCGAAATTAAATGAAAGAACAAGATTGCAGATACAAGCCCTGGAAATTAGCTTTCTGAGGGGTGGCTGGCCTCTCCCCTAGAGATAGGGTGAGGAGGTCGGCCATCCGGGAGAGACTCAGAGGCCACTACTCCAAATCGAGTCAGTTGAGATGGTTCGGGTATCTGACGAGGATGCCTCCTGGGATCCTCTTGGGTGAGGTTTTCCAGGCATGTCCCACTGGTAGAAGGCCCCGGGGCAGACCCAGAGATTTTATCTCTCGGTTGGCCTGGGAACGCCTTGGTGTTACCCCAGACAAAACTGGAGGAGGTGGCCGGGGAGAGGGAGGTCTGGGCTTCTCTGCTTAGGCTGCTGCCCACGCAACGCAGCCCCGGATAAGCAGAAGAAGATGGATGGGTGTATTTAACAATAAACATTTACCAATGGTTCACAAAGAAAAGCTTTTCACCTCACCATTCGTAATTTTAGAAATTTCCAACTCTCCAGGCAGCTGAATCCTGTCTATCTGGTTGTCAGCTGACCGTCCATCAGGAGGGGAATTTTCTTGGATTTCTTTCTCATTGTATGTAGTTGTGTGCTTTCTGTGTGTTTCTTTACAGCAGGAAGGGCTCCCTTGCTCACGTCACGCTATGATAAAATTGTCTTCAGTCTGCAGCTCTGTTGACCCATTCACTGAAAATAACAAACCAGTGAATGATGACAAAAACACTCAGGCTGACCAACAGATGCTTTTAAAGAAAGGCAACCTGACATATTTAGTCATTTTAAGGACAATTCAATTGTGCTGTAAATAGATTAGCGCTGACGCAGAAGCTGTGCTGTGACACACCACCAGAACAATCGATGGCACACAGCAGAGGCTCAAACCAGCCATGGGACAAAATGTGAGGTCATGAATGTAAGTGTCCTTGTGAAAGCAGTTCCCTTTAAATAGAACTATTTTCTTTCTTTGTTTTTTAAATTATGATAAATTAACTTTTATCTTTCAGCAATGACCTGCAACTGAAAATCTTGCAAATCTGTGAAACTGAAATTGACTGTTGACAACGTCTCCATTTGAAATTACCGATGCACGTAAATCTGCCAAAAGTCTGAAGAGCATGTCTTTGCTTTTTAAATAATTGGATGCTCACGTTTAGACTGTAGCTGCTCTGGACTGCTGTTGTCTCGTACAAAACAGGAAGTAATTCCTGCTGCACAAAAGCATCTCTTGGTCTTTTTTAGAACATTTGTTTGCATTAATAATTTATTATCTGATGCTATTTACAGCTTGGGAATCTGAAGCAGAAAAAGAGTTTACTCAGAGAAAATGTACCAAATTCCATCCTTTGTCAGAGCAGCCTGACTTTTAGGAGTAAATGGACGTACCTAAAAGGTAAACTGTTGAACCTTTTAGTGTAAAAGCTGCACCTTGACACTAAAAGGTACAAGGAAAAGAAAAGCTAACTTTTTTATTTTATATATATATATATATATATATATATATATATATATATATATATATATATATATATATATCTATATATATATATACACACACACACACACACAGGTTCTTTTACCTAGTGTGACATATCGTTCCTCTCTACCTCAACACACAGTGACACCTGAGCTGAAGCACAATGAGATTAATGACAAAAACACAGCCTTAAAGGAATCACAATACACGACCACTACGGCATCGAGATGGCCAGACATCATATTTACTAGCCCTCACCGGGATCAGCAAATCGGACCTTGTGGAGGGCAAACACCAATCATGACAGCCTTGATAAGCAGGATGGCATGAAGGTGGCTGTAAAAGTAGCAGTCAGGAGGCAGCGAGACCTGTGTTTAAGTCATTAAAAACACGTCAGGGGTTTATGAATGAGCTGAGACTTTAAGCATGTCCTTAAACTCATCGCAAGTGAGTTGACGTGTCTGTGCTGTGTGCACATGAGGTGTGTTATTATATCAAAGTGTGGCTTAGCATTCACTGACACACTCGTCTCATCTGTAATTAGCTCACAGCTGCGCTTAATGTAACTCACACCAGCAGATTTCATAACAAACATCCAGAAATGACCACACAGAGAAAGAACCACCTGTCCTCAGACATCCTGGTGAACTTCTATCGCTGCACCATCGAGAGCATCCTGACCAACTGTATAACAGTCTGGTACGGGAACTGCTCTGCCTCGGACCGGAAGGCATTGCAGAGGGTTGTGAAAACTGCCCAGCGCATCGCTGGAGCACCACTTCCTGCCATAAAGGACATCTACAGGAAGCGGTGTCTGAAAAGGGCTGGGAAAATCATCAAAGACCCCAGTCACCCATCACATGGACTCTTCACCCTCCTGCCCTCTGGGAGGCGCTACAGGAGCCTCCGGACTAAGACCACCAGGTACCGGAACAGCTTCTTCCCCAAAGCTGTCAGACTCCTGAACTCTGCCTCCTGACATCTGACCCACGTTAACACATGGACTGGACATACACACACCCACAACCACCTACACACACACACACACACACACACACACACACACACAATGGACAACTGTACCCTCAAACACACAATAATAACATGGACTGAACCACCACTCACAACCACTAGCACTTTATATAGCCTCTTAACTGCACTACTGTATAGTTCTGTGTAAATAATCATACGATAATTTTTAATTCTACAAGTGTTTACAACTTGCATAGTTCCCATTTCTGTATAGCTGTATATCTCATATTTCTGTATAGTTCTTTACTTCATATTCTGTATAGTTTTTCATATTTATATCCTGTTCATAGCCTGTACATAGCTTGTACTCACTACAGCCTGTACATACTTATAGTTATAGCATATTCATCACATACTTCATACCATGTACATATTACATACCATAATAGACCCATTTCTGTAATATACTTACATATCTATATTATTGCTAATATATATTGTAATATATCTATATCACTAAAGCACTTCTGGATGGATGCAAACTGCATTTTGTTGCCCTGTACCTGTGACATATGCAATGACAATAAAGTTGAATTCTATTCTATTCTATTCTGTTCTATTCTAAAACAGGTGAAAACATGGATGAACCACACTGAACATTAAAACACACAATGCCAAATTAAACCCAAAGATTTCTTTCACATATGCAGAACAAACATCTGAAGACTTAATGGGACTTAATGTGTGTGTGTGTGTGTGTGTGTGTATGTGTGTGTGTGTGTGTGTGTGTGTGTGCAGCTCTGCCGATGTTCAGACAAATTTGGGGCAACATGCTCAGAGTTTCTGTCAGTTAGTGGTCTTTTAGTATCATCAGTAATGTTTTTGTGTTTATAGCCAAAGCAACACATACAAGTGGGCTACCCAGGTAAAGGTGTGGTGCTGATTTGTAGTTTTGCAAACAGAGTTGTTGAACTGACTGTTACGTATTTTCCATTGAGTCACCAGGACAGGACAAGACGTCTTTCAGCTGAGAGAAAAAAGATGCTCTGTGTAACCTGGTCAACACAGGAACAAATACCCAAACATTGAGGTCACTCCTTAAACAGGAATAGTCGGGTTAATGGACTCTGGCTTCAACGACATGGCAAAAATGCAGGAAAGAGGGCGGGAAAATCACAGTAGTACACACACACATATATGCAGAGGCCTGCCAAATAAAACCTACAGGAGAGCTGGGCGGGCATTTTAAAATTCAGCTCTCTGCATAACATCCGTGCTGTTGGTCTGTGCCAAACTAAATCCACTTTAGAAACTGGACACACCCTCTCTCCAGCCCAGGTAGAGACGTGACAACGCTCATTCATTTACTTCTGCTTACAAGACATGCAAGCTGAGACTCTTACATTATCCCATCGCACCTCTGAGGTTCAAAAGATCTGCTGTCTGCTCTCTCGGTGCTCGCATGACTCACATCTCACATACCAGTGAGTGGAAGGAGGCAGATACAGTGGCTGGTTTGTGAAATCTGCCTTAATGCTCAGTAACCTGAGACCTTCACCTTGAGTCGAAACACGGAGGCAGAGCGGCAGCCAGTGCATGCTATGGGAGCTATGCTATACGTTAGACACACTCAGAGCACATGCATGTTACAGCATAAAGGGCTACTTGTCAGGACATAATAAATATGTAACTTGGCGATACTACTTAAAAACGAGACATTGCTCTACCTATCTACATGTCTATCTATATGTGAGGAGAGAAAACCGTATGTGTTTCATTTCAACTCTGTTAAAAAGGAAAATATACTAGAGTTGCTACCAGCAGTCATTTAGCTGATTAAATCTTTTGATAACCAATTTATAATCCAAAGATTTACAAGTGAAAAATTGAGAAACGCAGCAAATCTTCACATATTAGACCCTGGAAACAACTCATCTTCATCAGCGCTTAGGTAGAGTACATAAAACATTTAAGATTAATTCTTCACATGTTCACTCTGGATGAGAAACAGCACAAACAGCAGACTCTCACATTACCATCTTCCTTTCTGGGTTCTGCCTTTTCTGGTTGTCACAACATCGGCAATTTCTGAGATAATCCAAAAGGAGCGGGAATCGTCTACAAAGCTGCTGCTCCCGCACGCTGTCTGCTGAACCAAAATAAAATCCATTCTGCACAGACACTCGTTCACAGCTGAGTGGCTCAGGACAACCTCAAGCAAGCTGGATGAGCATTGGTCAAGTATTCAGCTGGTCCACACGCAGCCTGTGATTTGTCCTGTTATCGCTCCCTCTCTCTCTCTCTCTCTCAGCGCAAACTGTGTTTTCTGCATCTGTTTTTCCGTCTCTGTGTTTGTTCTCTGCCTCTTGCGGCACCTCAAGTGCTGGCCGTTATGTTCCAGGTTAGTCTGTGTGAGGAAACATGGCCAAACACGAGAAGCGGTGAGAGAGCAAGAGCGAGTTGCTGTTTCCTACTTTTCCTCTGTGGTATTTGTGACACACACTCACTAACACACACAGACAGAAAGAGAGAGTGAGCAAGAGAGGGCTCAATATCACAGTCATAATTGGCTTATAATACCAAAGAGGAACTTGATCCTTGATGCCACCCAGCCACTGTCAGTCGAAACCAAAAGACACGGGACATGTGTGCATGTGTGTGTCTGTGTGCGAAATACACTTCTGTAAGTACTCACTGGGAGACTAAAAGCTGATAGTACTTTTATTACTGATATTACTTTTATTTTAAGAAGAGCAAAATCACCTAATAACTCTTGGAAACTTTACACTTGATATCATATGATTAATACTGATACAGTAACAAAAGCATTAAGATCAATTATAAGACGCTGGTGGGGCTTTCAGCTTATCTTTTGAGGAAAAATCATTCCTACCGTTCTCTGTACATCATTTTGTATTATATCTTCATGCAGCAGTGTTTCTTAGATTTATAGATTTAAAGTATGCAAATCATTTATTAATGCAGTTTTCGCTACTCTCTTATATAACGTCAGTCAGATGTACACAATGCTTTGCCTGTGGCCGCTGAATCACCACCGCCTCACTCCACATATGACAAGACCATCCTAAGGACAAACTACGAGATAAGATGTGACAATGTGAAATGAAAAATATAGGAAGATAAGAAAAATTTCAATTAGTGCAACAACGGAAGGTGACAACAATGATTGCTCTTTGAGATCAGGGAGATAAATACAACATTGTGATTAATGGATATTTAAAAACATGTCATTGCATTCAAAGGCAAATCACAACACACAGCTTAAACCACAGTTTACACTGAGACACTCATGTGGATCTTCAGACTCATATAGTACCGAGACATTTTGGCGAGGGGAGTTGAAACTAACAAGACAGAGAACAGAGAACAGTGAAGACATGAGGAGGAAAGTGGAAAAGGCAATGCTACTAGGTGACATACCATGTTGGCAGCAGCTGTCGGGAAATGGTAGCAAGAATATCTCACACGTGTATGTCTGACCTGCTTGTCAAAGCTGAGACAAAGAGTGACAGAGAGAGACGGGGACAGTGAAATCTCTCTCTCGCTGTCTCACCCAGAGTGTGAGGCAGCGCATTCCTTTTTCAGCACTTGGCTCACTTCATCAGAAGGCCACAACCTGGGTTACAATTAGTGTGCAGCACAGACAAAGGACTCACTCACTCAGTGAAATGTTGTTTGCTTCGCTATACACTTGCGGCCACTTCATTAGTTACACCTTGATAGCACCAGGTTGAACCTCCTTTAGTCTTCAGAATCATTTTCATTTTTCATGGAGCAGATTAAATAAGACATTCTCACAAATGTTGGTCCAATGGATACAACAGTATAACACAGATGTCAGCTGCACCACCACCACTCATCAGACCTGGCAATATTTCTACAACTGTCCAATTTTGATGAGCCCAGGTGGAATATCGCCTCAGTTTCCTGTTCTTAGCTGACACTGCTGTTGCCCCCCTTTGCTTCAAGGTTTGCATTTTGTGGATTTAGAGATGCTCTTCTGTAACAAGTGGTTATTTGAGATACTGTTTCCTTCCTATCAGCTCGAAGCATCAACGAGGCATATTCGCCCACAGGGATGGACTGGCAATCTGTCATACTGGACATTTTCCCTGTGGGCCGACACACTTTTGGGCTGATCGATCGGCCTGAAGAGCCGCTGTGCTCTGGCAGCAGCCCATTTGTTCATTTTCATTACTGACACTGGATTGCCCAATCAGATCTCTTAATGCGACAGGCTACACCTCTGTTTGCTCAGGCAGCTTGTAGAAAAAGTTTAGTGTGGAAGAAGTGGCAAAAAATGGAGCCGAAAAGCTGAGAGGAAACAATAGTCAAATTAACCGACATGTTAGCTGCCAGTACTGCTGCACTGTGAACAGCCACAACTCCTCACACTCACAAGAGGCTGCTGCTGCTGCTAGCACCAGCTGTGGAGCAGTGAGGAAGATTAAATTAACATGGTAAGAAAATGATGGAGGAACATAATTAAAAAGGGAGAGGTTCAACAAATCAGGTAACACAAATGACTGATTTAACTATGAGCCACTGTTAATAGCTAAAGTGTAGCTTTTAATTATTGTCACACGCTGAGGTGTAACTAAGAAATGATCCAACAACAACTGTATCAACCTGATTAAACCCTGTTTCAATATCTATAATCCAACAAAAGGAGGTAAATACAGAGTATGCGTACGCTTTATATATAATCAAGAGTCAAATCATAGACGTGAAGTTTCAAAGGTGAATAGCGCTACCACAGTGCTATCCAGCAGCTAGTTTGAGTAATCATGGTGGGACGATTTTTTTTGTCCCAGTCTTGTCCTGTTCACCCAGAGAACTGGTGCTCACTGGATATTTTGTCTTTTTTGTACATTTCCCTGTAAACATAACTAAATGCATTGAGTTGCTGCCATTTGATTGGCTAATTAAATATTTGTATTGATGAGGAGTTAAACAGGTGTACCTAAAAAAGTGAACATGAATATATATATATATATATATATATATATATATATATATATATATATATATATATATATAGTTTTTTTTTTTGTTTGTTTTTTTTAATCAGAACTCCAGCACACTGAATTCCAACATGTAGAAAGCAAAGAGAAGCAACAAATCCTCACACGTGACTTCAGTGGAACAGTTATTCATTTTATGTCAAATTAAGTGAAAAACATTTAGCACAAGCTGTACTAAAAGCAGGGCGTCATCTTCACTGTCTTAAAAATTGTCAAACCAGTCCTCATGTATGCAATGCAAGCGGATACACTGCTCAGAAGCAAAGAGTGCCAATGCGTAACCACAGGAATCTAAGAGAACATCGGCTGTATCTTAGCCTGCAACAGAACAGCTTGTTCACCATAGCTATCGGAGTGCAGCGTGCCCTGTGCTTCAGCTCCAACAGATCAAGTGTTGTGATGTTATTTTGTTTTTGTTGTCGTACATTTGAGCTATCATTGTTGTCCTCATGATCTACCCCTTGCTCTCTGTCTCGCTCCCTCTGCTGTTCCTTCCAGCTCCATTAATGCACCCACTCTACTGGGAGACAGAAGGAATGTGCAAAAGTCAAAAAAGGACACTGAAAGAAAGATAGGCAGAATGGGGGGAAGTGGCACAGAGGAGCTATGAGGGATAAAAAAAACATGCGTGTGTACATGTGTGTGTGTCAGCATGTCTGTGGCATTAGGCTTGAACAGAGTGAGCATGTCCTAGCCAGAGGAGAGAAGTCGTTGAATCAACTGGTCGCAACCAAGGCCTTGTCGCCCTTGTCCTCATCTCTCCGTCTCCCTCTCTCTCTTTTTCCTCACTCTCTCCCTCAAAATCCCCTCCGCTCATTCAGCAATGCATATTACAAACAGGACATTTTACTTAATCCTGAATCTCTCCCCCTCCTCCCGGGCTTCTTTGTCAGGGCACCATTGTGAATTAGAATAACAGAACCGGCTTTAAAATAAAATTCTACATCAAGTGCATAGCGTTTGCAACCAGGAAATGGCAGGTGAGTCTGAACTAGAGTTAGTAGATATTTTCATTTGACAGACTTTCATAGTTTATAGTGAGCTTGTAATATGTGGGCTGGATATTCAAGGTTTGATGTGTGACATCTCCCATGAGATAAGACATACCACAAAGAGCATTTGCACCTTGTACTTGGTTTAGCCTGACATCTTTCTACTCAGTCATCCTCACTGCAAATGTCTGTGCAATACTAACAGCTGCACACACAAAATCAAACAAGCTTGTCACTCCAAATGTAACGCTCGTTTTCTGTACTTGGAAGCAGCGCTATCAGTGTCAGCATATTTGAAAAAAACAATTTTTTAAACGTGTGTGTGTTCAGAATGGAATGCCGTGTTTAGAGGCCGCTAATCCCAAGCAGGGACGGAAACAAATGTACCTCAAGCTTTAGCCTTCTATTTTTGCCTCCAGTATCCTCAGCACTTCAAGCATGCATCGTCCCAGGCTCTGGCTTGGGCAGCTAACACCTCATTACCATTCTGTAAAGCAGTTAACATCGCTGGACATGGATTTCCTCCAATGAGTAAGTCGGGGTCAGAGGTTCGTATAAACGGAGGATTCATGATCAGATGGCTGCTTCGGTTTCTTAAACTTTGGTGGTTTATGACACGAGCGACACGAGAGTGTGAATCCTACACAAGCAGGTGAAGTACATTTCGGTCATCTACTGAAATCTGAACAGAAGTTTATTTTTATTTTTGACAGTGAGTGCTCTTTTTGCTAAGGGGGTGTAGTGCTTTCGCTTGACAGACTGTAGTGATACATTTGATCCTGACTGATACTGCAGGATTTCTCCAGGATCACTTGAACTCTTATGGCTCTAAGATATAAGGCAATGGATCTAAACTACTAGCTAGGTGGTGACTAAAACAAACGTAAAACAAAAATAAAGTGTGTTAAGCTAAAGAGGGAGTGCATTTATAATCATCAAATGAGGCGTTTAATTTAGCAGATGTTCTTTTAGGATATAAATATATCTTGTTAATTCAGAAAAAAAGGGGAATTTTTGTCAGGTGAATACATTGAGCTTTCATATTTTAGACACTGAAGTTTTCTATTTTTTTTTCTTTTTTAAGCTATTTAAACACACTTTATTACATCTAATGATCAAAAACATATGTGCATCAGTAAAAGACACTAAAAAAAACT